CGCAGGAAATTTAGCAAAGTGAAACTAATAGTGTTCTCCTTAGTGGTAAAGTAATACCTCCAAAATATATAGAATAGATCCTGTTAGTTGAAGTGCATTGCATCATACGACCAACTAGCACTCTACAACCGTATCGATACCCGTTGTGACATTACAGCACTCTTCAGCCGTATCTAGAGATCACGTCTCCATAGCAAAGAAATATTTTGAGTCGTACGTATCCACACGGTTTCTTCTTCACGCGGCGCGCAAAGCGTGTTCCACGTAAGTCGACCATCGAACAAAAGGACTGGTAATCATTTTTTTCACAACGCCTTATGTTCTATTAAGTGCTCGCCACTATTTCACTCACTCTGGTTCATGTCCAACCGCATTTTTTTTTTTTAAGTTATTGCCAAAGCTCCTACTTCATTCTAAATCCCCAAAGCTTAGGGTTTTCATCACCATACGTAGAACAAGACTAGAGTGTATGATGGCAGAGGCCCTTCTGAATCCTCTAGCTACGGCTGGTAGAAAATAATCAGCTGAAGAGCGGTATCGTTCGATATACTAGGAGAAGAGCCTTCAATAACAGCGCTCACACCCAAGTTGCTAACATAAAGGGGGTTCCCTTACCCACTCTATCTGTCTTCGCGAGCCAAATGCGCACCTCCGCTGCTTGATAGACAGGCTGGCGCTTCTACGGCTCCCAACAAAGTCGAGAACTCTGCTTGCAGATGCTTGGTCCCTCCACACAGCTTCCGGTTGAGTAGTTGGCTGGACTCCATAAACCTCAGTATTTCTTATGGTCAGAAGCTTTTGCGAGAGTTTGAGGACATGCCATAAGCTTCCTTTTACTGTTCATCTGGACGACATAGGGCGATGCAGAAGAGCGAACAGCAGTCTTTGCTAAGGCAGTCAGTTATTGCGTCCATCCCGGGATACTAAATATCGTTTAGGTCGTCTCACGACTGCTTAACAGGAGTCGTCTTCCTGCCCACGTGGAGGCCGACAATCCCTTGGCATCGGTGATGGATATTGCGTTTGACATTCTACTTTTACAGTTTGTTTCTCCCGGGCTTTACGAAAGGAGAACAGCCCCTACAACTGGGCAGAGATCCTCCAGGATGAGTGATCTAAGGCGTGCAGCTTTTTTACAGCAAGTAGAACAAGGGCTTTTGTCACTTGGGATGCAAGAGCCGGAGAAATTTGTCCAAGAAAGTTTATTCGTGAATGGTGGATGTACGGTCTTTCGGATTGGTTTGTGACGAGGTGCCAAGACCCTTCAAATGGCCCTTCTCTCCATCACCAGTCAAGTGGCCAAACTTAACAAGCCGAGCTATTGGCAATAATGCACAGACAAATGCTCATCTTTTCTCCACCTCTCTGCAGAGACCAAGGATTGTCCTTTATTGGAACATTCTTAAAGTCTTTTTGCCTATGATGACTAGAAAGCCTAGCCTCGGCTAAGAAATCAATATCTGACCAGCATTTCACCAGTGGTGGTAGATCTGAACGAAAGAATCCAACTACATTGTTGCTCAAGTGGTACCTAGTTTGCGTCACTTGATGTGAAAATCAACAAGAAAGACACTTGACGTGGTAGGTCAAGGTACTCATTTCTACATTCACTAATTGTGGATATTGCCCAATAGGTAGGTACCTATGTACATGTGTGTCCGACGACCGTCTACTCAACTTTATGAACCTACGCGCCAAAATCCGTTCCAATTACCCTATCAAATAGGGTCTTAGTATGTCCCATTCCAATGCAGTTCAATCGCAAAGCCACATCATCTTTCATATTTCTTATGGACGATCATGGAACCATTGCAGGCTTTGGCATACATTATGGTGCTGATCCAACGCTGGCAACTACTCTAGATGTCGTTTGCTAGAGGCCTTTCCTACATGTCTGTAAGCACGCGAAGCCGAAGTTTCGACATCAACAACAGTCTCGAAAACATGATCTGGAGTGGGGGCGCAATCAAGGCTGTGTACGGCGGCAAATTTAATCTACGTAGGTCCCAAGAAAGATGCACCAAATCTGGGCAATCTGCAGAGTTCTTTGCGGCTCGCAAGTCATGAATAACTGATCGCGTGTTGACTGTAGAGCGATTGGCACGTAAAAGCGCCAAGGCACCTAGGTACTAAGCAAGATGCATCCCCAACACAGAGAGGTACGTTCGCCTTGGTGTGACTGAAGTTATTTTTGGAGTACCTCCGTGAGCTACGGAGGGAGCATTTGGTTGGGAACGCCGAGGTTCCACACTAAAATCGGTGCCTAGAATAGACCCACTTGTCGGAACAACGGCAGTTGACCGGTGTATGGACCCACCAGTAGATGCCACCAAAACTTTTTGGTTGTTTTGTTCCCTTTGGCAACGCGTGCTGAGTGACAACCACATCTCATCGCCCAGATTCAACCAACAGCATATTGCAGTTACAACGTAACTCTCCTCTTTTCAAGACCTTTTTATTTCCGTCACTGTCAAGCAATCCTAGGAAGAAAATGTGTTCGCTGCGCATCATGGCTAAGAACTTCTCCATGTATGATGACGGCGAATACGAAGACGAAGGACCTGTGAGGTGGAAAGAGCAGCAACTCGGGTAGCAGCACTTCTTTTCTCGTATGAGATAGGGCATATCCTTGGTGTCTAATACTTGTACGCCCCTTCCTCCCGTGCCTGGACCGCCTTGGACTGACGATTTTTGAAGGAAGGAACTCCCATCCAACGATGGCGTGTGGGTCCAAATGGTTCTGGACCCATGGGTAGTGCTACTCGGAGACTGTTCGTGGGAAGGAGCACCCCAAAAACTCACGATGGCTTCATGAAAATCGGTCTGGCGAGCCGTTTTGTGGTGGGGGAAACGTCATGTCTTGGCGTTGGCCTGAATCCCATTGGCTGTTGGCGCCATCATCTGGGAAAGAGCTTGATCGAGATGGACAATGTCTTCACAGCGAATTGCCTGCAAATGGCGGTGTTCTCCTCCAGAGAGCGTCATAAACTGACGATGCAGTCGTATTTGGAAAGAGGGTGAGATCTCCTGCCTGTATGGATCAGTTGCTCACATGATCCGTCTATATATCAAAAGGTTTGCCATCCTCTTCATACTTGTCTTTGATCCTCTTCTTTCTTCTCCCGTCGTCCGTCCGTCTATTTGCCCCTTTTCTGCCTGCCCGCCTGTCTTTGCGCCGAGACTTTTGCCGTTTTTTTTGATCTACCGTGTAGATCAACCCCCCCCCCCCCCCCTCGTCGTTCGCGTTTCTGCCTCCGGTAGCAGCGCCTTTAGTTCTTCCTGTTAGACCAGCGCCTCTCGGGGACTGGTACTTTCTTTGTTGGCGTAAAACCCACTTAGGGCAGGGAGTTCTAAAGGTGGCTGTCTACGTGTATTCGCCTACGTGTTTGCAGCCGGCATCATGTCTCCCAGCAGCAAGTCCTTCTCCAATTGGTTTATATTCATCTGCTAACAATGTATTACAGATTCCCCCAGACAGGCAGCTCAGCAGAAGCGAAGTGCATCCCCAATTGCACTTACATCATCCAAACGCCAGCGTCAATTGGACGCTTCTCCTTCTCCTTCCCCACCTCCAGCATCTTCCCGTCGTACGCTCCGCGGACGGAAGATTATAGAAGACGACGACGATGAAAACGACAACGACGTCCCAGTTAAAGACGTCCCAGTTCATGAGGGTTCCAGCGACTAGGAGTCCCCTGACACCCCCCCCCTGGACGTCAACACAAAAGAGGTCATTCGCGTTGGGCCGCAACCCCTCAAGCCCCAGACGCACATTGAATCGGCACCACGGCTCACCGCAATATGGGAAATTGAGTCCGCGTTGAAGGCGAACCAAAACAAGACCGACCAAAAACTGCCTCTCTCAACGCCTGGTACCCTGGCTGCAGATTTTGTCGCCCTCTCGACAAGCTTGGGAAGTTCTTTGCAGCCTTATAATGGCGATCTGGTCACACGAGTCTGTGATTATACAGGGACTACCTTGTCATGGACACCAGGCCCCCGCAGCACTTCTCTAGAGGCCATATATCCATACGTTATCAAAGAGGATGGTCGCATTGCATACCATGCCAATCCCAACGTATGCATCATTGCGACAGCTGTCAATTATGCCAAAAAGAGACACCCACCCATCTATCTGCCGCTGGTTGCCGCATGGCTCAATTGCCATGATGAGAAAATGGGCTTTGAGGCACGGAAATCCGAATGGGCATGGATATATAATGCGCTGTCCAACGTTGCCACTCTGCAACACATTTTCCATTTGGAGAGTCCACACGTTGATCAAATCAAATCATGGCAACAGTGGACGCCACAAGAGCAGAGAGACACCCTGGAGGTCCTCAGAACGGGGTCCAGACGCCCTATAGTTGACCGCTTGCTCTCCGGACTCAATTCGCGTGACCTTTTTCATACCAGCGAAGGCACATCCGGCAGCATTCAGCCTTCTGGCATTACGGCTGGAAGGAACATGTACCACACGCTTGTCCAAATCGCGTCCAAATATGGTCTCACGCAGTACGAGTTTGTGTACTGTCTCACCATCCCGTCCCCACGTCTCCGCGATAGGGTTTTCTACCCTTTTCACATCTTGTCACGGCCTCAAGCTCAGGCAAATAGATGGGACTGGAACAATGTCACCTCCTTGAGCCACTTTCTGGTACGAAATCTCAAGAAGCACTGCAACAAGCATGGGGAAGCGGCTGGGCACGGGGAGGCTGAGTTGAACGGAACCACCATGACCTACTGGATGGCGGCTTATTTCAGCGATCGGATTGCTCAGATCAAAAAGGAGAGGCCGACAGCAACTATAGAAGAGGTCATGTTCTACAACCTCGATCGCTGGGGCCTGCCCATGGTGCCGTGGGTCCGTCATGCATTCAAGATATCCTTATGTAAAGGTCCAGATCATGGCATTGCGATGGAGCTTGGGTTTTTAGCCACAAATGGCGAGCAATTTGACCCCCTCAAACACATTGATCTGAGTCTCCGGACGGTAGAGATGGATTCTTGGCTCACAAACAATGCCATGAGTAATTACGCCACTGACGACTGGGACTGGATCCGCACGCTCTTACGCAGGGTCCCTCTGAACCATACTTTTTGGAGGATTGATCCAAAATTTGGAATGGATATCTGGAATGGCTCCCGAGGCTCGACTTTACCTGTCCGACCGCGGCAAACTTTCACCATGCCCCTTCTACCTATTGATGACTGGGTCAACGCAGCGTCTGATCAAGGCGCCCTCCGTCAACAATGCAGCGTCTGTGGGCAACAGTTCTCAAGTATCGGCCTGCTTCTTCTACATTGTCAAGAGAGGCACAAGTTTGTTGATGGGAGCGTCCCAAGAGATACCATCAATCCCATCCAAGACGACGTCGACAAGGAGTATTGGGACAACTGGTTTCTCTGTGCTGAATGTGGTGCAAAGTTTACATCTGGTCGGGGCCTAGAGAAGCATCGCACGGACCATCACACCACGGACAAGCCCTCCACCTCCAATGACAGCGCTAAGACCCTCCCTCCACAGGATCCTCCCAAGAGCAAGGACCAGCTCTTGAGATGCGAAGAATGTGGCAAGTCATTTACCCGGGAGCGAGACCTTCGGAAGCACTTGGTTGAAACGCATGGCAACAACGAGTCCTTGGAATGCGAGCAATGCGACAAGACATTTGCCACGGAGGATGACTTGATGCTGCACATGAAGACGGCGCATAATGATCCCAAGCCGTACAAGTGCAAGGAATGCACAACGACCTTCAGTTCAAGGTATAACTTGAACGAGCATGTTACTGCAGTGCACCGCAAGGAGAAGCCTCATCAATGTCCAAAATGCGAAAAATCATTTGGTCAGAAAAGCAGCCTTCAAGGGCACATGAGGGAGGTCCATGACGGGGAGAAAAAGTGGAAGTGCGATAAATGCTCCAAGGCATTTACTCGAAACCAGGCTCTCAAAAAGCATATAGAATTAGCACATAGCTTCAAATAGAGTACATTTATCAACTAGCATTGCCTAAACTTCTCCCTTCCTTGCCTCTGCTTCTAATCTCTTGTGTCCATACAAGCCTCATCATACATGTATGTAGGCACTTAGTGGTTTTATTGTTTATTGTCTTTCATATATTAGGTACCGTTTATGGACTACACAGAAGACTGTCGACCCATGTTTCACTCCTTTCTGGGCACGTTTTATGTTTGAGTCTTCATGTAAGATTTCGCCATTTTGCTAGACGTGAGCTGTGGGATCCCGAAATAAGTCATGTCCGCGTACCTATGCGACACAGAAGAAGCCATAGCTTTTATAATAACGGCCGATTACGTGAAGATTTCTGACCAGAAGAAAGAAGAAGAGAATTAAAGTGAAGAATGGCTGCAAATACGAAATTCGGTCACAAGCGGCTATGAAAACGTTGAGACTGAGCAAACGCTCGACACACCACTCCGGATGGCACGCATATAAGAGTAGTAATGATACACATCCACTCGTGTTGCTCATATGTCTCCATCGTATTCCCACATTCGCTTTGCGCCTTCTTTTCGTGTACTTCTTATAATTTAGTCTCTGTAGGTAGCGAAGACCAGGTCTGTTGTAGCTCAAGCTGCCGGATCTTCAGGTGATGAATGGTCGAGCATCTGGTGGTCAAGCTGAAAGTCATCGGTCGAGCGAAGGGCACCTGAGCGACGAGTGGAGAGGGGTAATTGCACCTCCATTGGTGAGCATGTTGATGGCTATAGGCTTATTGCCACCTCAATTGGGCTCTCTTCAATGGTATCACGTTCTGGAATGGCATCATCAAGCGTCGCGGAGTCGTGGTTGACAGTCAAGTTTGCGGTTTCCTTGGCGTATTGCTCGAGCTGTTCCTGAGCTGCAGCAGATAGAGATGACCGGCGATTGCCTCTACGAGCGCCAGATGCTGGTGCCGGCTTTGTCATTTTATTTCAAAAAGCATACAGCAACGCTTGCCTTCGTCTGCTTCTTTGGCGATTTTGGCGATCTCCTAAGGACTGTGAGGTCTAGATTTTAATGTTGCAAATCTTGAATTGGCAGGCTGTAGACCTTCAACTCTATGGGGGGTCTTTGAAGCCTGCAAAACATGCGACGTACGATCTCACTCTTTCCACGGAGATGCCTCCATTTCATGATTTGAACACAGTTATCGTGCTTGATCAAGGTCGTCCTGTTCGATCATGGTCAATCAGTTCGTTCCATCAGCGAATTTAATTAGGTCCACCTAGCTTGTTAAGGGTCATCATGTCCCATCTTGACCACTTTGTTTAATTAAGGTTATGAGATCATGGAGCCTGTTAATGTTAAGGTTGCGTATCTGTGATAACACGCCTCAGAAAACAAGAGGGTCTCACAGGCAGGATTGTAGTAAGATGTGTGTGTATTGATCAAGTTGTTGCTCCCACCAGAGAGTTCAGACTAGACTAAATACTTGGGGGAGAGGGTACGTATTGCACGATGTGCCTTCCCCATCATTTCCCCTCCTGAAAAAAAGGCTGTCCTCAGCGTTCTAAGAAATGTTGGAGTATGGTTCCAGTTGCTCACCCAACTCAAACCCCCTCAACCCAAGAAAAAGAAGGCCATCCCCTTTGCAAAGCAACGGTCCGGAACGAAAGAAACAATCCAGCATACGCCAGTCACCAGGAGCCTTTCAATAAGGTCTCTCTTCCTCATGCCCTCCTCGCGGATAAGATAAAAACGATCTCTTCAAGATCATAGACGCCCAGACTCCTTCCTTTCTGCTCACCCAGAATAGTATGGACCTTTGCTGCGTAATCAACTCCTTCGGCCCAAAGAAAAAAAAACCCCCCATTCCTCACCAGACGGACTCCATTTTAGTACCACGAAAAAAAAAAAAAAAAAACCATTCCTCACCAGACGGACTCCATTTTGGTACCACGAAAAAAAAAAAAAAACCATTCCTCACCAGACGGACTCCATTTTGGTACCACGAAAAAAAAAAAAAAAAAAAACTCCGCATAATCAGAAATAAGCCCCCTTTGCGCTTGCTGTAATAGGAAAATGAGAATGAAGAAAGAAGCGAGGACGGTCTCATGTGTGAAGAGCACATTGACAACATCCCAAGCAGTTTGCAGATATAAAGTTCCAAGGCCGTAAAGCTCCCTCTCTCGTTTCTGAATGGGTTCTAGAGAAGGAGAGCAAATTGAAACAAGAGAGGGGAAGGAATTAGTAACGACCCTCAAACTCGTCGAACCTCCGCTCTCACTCTTCATCTGGTCCTCCGCCCAAGCCCCCGCCGGATTCGTAGGTCTCTCCCGGTGAGACTCCGGCACCGTCTTCCAACATAGATTCCACGAGGCTGGTGGTTGCGGATTGGCCCTCAAGGGCGCTAGTTGTCGAATTCAGTTCAGAGAGTGCCAATTGGCTAGCGACAGACCGCTCCCCCCCGCGCGCGCCAGACCCCGGGGCAGCCAAGTTCGCAGTTGGTGGGGTTCTCAGACTGGGTGCAGGTGCTAAAGAAAATAGATGAGGATTCCTCCTGCCTATCCCCGTGGGAGCCAATACCGCAGCTCTGGCACTCGGTCCCATTAGATTCCATGCACGAGGGAGCCCCTCTCTTCGCAAGGTCGAAATCTCTGGTCTAACGATGGGCACCTGTTGTCCTGTGCCGAAGCGTTGGCTCAGCCTATCTGCAGGAGTGGGAAAACGGCCCCTTCGTTGGGTCATTGGCTGTCTCAAGTTGGACCCTCCCGGTTGGGGTCGAGATCGTGCAAGCTCCTCTGGCAAGGGTCCGGCAGACGGAGATCTTTTGAGCGTTGAGGGTCGTGGGGTATGAGGCACCACCACTTCTTGTTCATCCTCCTCACTGGTTAAATCAATGATAATCGAGAGAGCCCTCATCTCGGTATTATTCGAGGATTTGGGGAGGGTCCCGGCTAACAAGTCGGCTGGGTCGGAGGGTCTAAGAGCTGGGGGCTCCCCACCAGTTGAAATAGATGGAGTGATAGAGGGTCGCTGCTCTCCCGATACATCAAGTGCGACAGACAAAAGGTTTTCAACGGTTGTCGCAGGCGCAAGACTCTCAGCGGGTGGTTCAGGGCGGTTTCCCGCAGACAATGTGAGGTCTCTTGGTAGCGTAGAAGGGGTCGGTGGCTCTGCACCAGTGGGGACTGTTGGAGTAATAGGGCATATTGGCTCCCTAGATCCATCTTGTGACTCAGATGCAGTGCTTTGAACAAGTGGCCCAGAGGTTGGTTCAGTAGCCAATGGAGAGTCCCCAGTTGGTGTGGTCGAAGGTTCGTCATCTGACGATTGCGTCCCGCTGCCAGAGTCGAATGGGTCATCCAGCAAGAAGCACCCCGGCTGCAAAACAGCCATCCTCTGATCAAGGGTCTCAGATCCCGGCAGTTCATCACGTCTCAACAGAAGGGGGGGTCTCTCCGCAAGTGGAATTCTCAACTGTGCCAGGACCCCTTCCATCAAGGGGCGTAGGCGCCCCTTTTCTAGGACAGGTTTCAGCCGGCGCCAACAACGACGAACCTCATGCGTGCGGTATTCTGCCGCCATGGAGATGATTGCGGGCAAGTCCTTGAGTTTTCTCAACTGATATCCAAGGTCCTGGCAACGTTCAGCCCAGGTTCCATCCAATTCCCTCAGGGCGGTAATAAGGTCCCCCTCCACCTGGTGGACATTCATTCCAACCATCTCACAGATGGCTTTCTCCATCTCATCCCAGTTGGCATCCATAAGTCCCTCCATTAGTTCAACCACATTCTCTCGGTCGAGAACATCCATCTTCCGCCAGGAGACATCCTCCACTTCTGCGGTCTCCTCCAACTCCCACAAGAGTCTCTCTCGAGTTTGGTACTCGCAATTTTCTGGGTTGGATAACTTGGCATACAATATGTTCCACGCGAAATGCCTTCGGACTGGTGCAGTTTCAATGATTTCCAGAACTGTTGCTAGCAGCGGAGTAGGTCTCGTCCGGTCTTCGTCCTCCTCCAGGACTGGGACTATCGCTTCCGTGACCATAATATTTAATTGGTCCTCTCCTCCCCTCCCATGGAAAATGTCGGGAGGCACCCTACTCAACATCTGGCGCGTCATGGGGGGTCCTCCAGCGATGACGGGCATGCCACAGTGGTCTATGATGAGGCTCTTGTGATCTGGGATGGTAACACCCTGGGCTATTAAGTGCTCTATGAAACTCTTCATTTTATGTAGGTATGTGGTACGAGAAGAGGAGCTAAGATAGTCGAACAGACTCCAGTCTGGATTCACCAGATCAGGAGCTGGTCCTCGGGTTCCGGGTGGCTCAAACATCTCAGAGATCGAAGCTCGGTTTTGCTGCCACACGGGGCCTGCTGTCAAAAATGGTGCTGTAAGGAGCAAGGTCTCTGCGCTGTCTTGACTGTGCCTTACTTTCATGACGTCCAGCAGCTCTGGTAGGCTCCATTGAGTCCCTCGAAGTGGTTTGTGGCTCCCAATGAAAGAGTTGGTGGCCAGCCGAGTAGGGACACACAGCGTTACCTTGTCGGTGGTCTCCTTCGGAGTCACGTGTCCGCTGTAACTGGGGAGTCCCTTCAAGTAAACAGAGGTGAGACCCGTCATTGCCAATTCAGCCTCAGAGGGGTAAACGTACGGTTCCATATGAACCATTCTTGGCATTTTACTCCCTGGGATCATATGGGGCAGCAATTCAAGTCTGGATTGTGGGCTCAAGCCAGGGACCTTCGACGTAATCTGCATTGTGAGGCGCTTTAGCTTGGCCACGTCAAGGGTGAAACCGTTGGTGGACAATGCAGGTCTGGCCCGGTCGGTTTTGAACATCCTGTGGATGTATCGGAAAAAATGTTCATACTCAGAGAGGCCTAGTTCCTCGTGCCATCTGAGATAATGGGGGCGACCCAGTATACACTCCACCACATCCGCCGTTGGGACCGTCCAGGCTGTCGACGCTCTCCTAGTTCCCCTCTGTACTTCCGCAATTGACGCTTCCTGACTCATTTCAGAGTCCATGGTAATGTCGTACCATAAGAAATATCCATGTAGTATATCCTCACAGGTAAGCAAGTCATTCGGGAAGGCGAGTGCCACCTTCCACAGTTCTTCCAGAAGTTCTGCTGGTATGTTCATAGCCTTTAGAAAAGGGACTCCCATACGGAAGCCCGAAAGTCCGCTAGTCCCTCGTCTTAATATTGAGGCGTCGCATACTAGGTCCCCCCAGAGGGGATTCCGAGGTCCTGGTTCTGCAGCCGGGTTGATGGGCTTATCCAAGTTGCGCGCTGCAAACGCCACTTGATCGTTAGAGAGAGGTCCGTACTTAACCACCGGGCTGATATGAGACCCCCTGTATAATGCTTTAAGAGTCTCGACGGACTCTTTTCTGATTTGCTCTAGCGATTGTGTTCCATTACTGAACAGCGAGGAGAACGTTCCGTCTCCATTAACCCAAAGCTTGAGAGGGATTAGGTTCCCACGGACCAGCATGGAGTGATGGAGGATGGTTTGGCGGCCGGAGACGCTCCCCTCGGGCTCTGTTTTGAATTCGTTCCCTTCGAAGGAGGCACTTCCTACTTGTAACCGAGAGTTGGAAGTGTTTCCCTTAGTTCGCACTCTCCTCACAAAGACCGGTCCGTTCATGTAGGAAGACCACCCCACATAAGCACCAGACACCACAGGGTCTTCTCTTTTAGTCGGTCGGGGTCCTTCGCGAGACTCTTCAGGCAGTGCGTCCCACTCTGCCTGCCGCTCCTCATCTAATCCATCGTTCCAATATTCCTCCATTCTCATGGTCCATCCATCATCAAGAGCCAGCTGCTGACTCAAGTTCCCCTTATTTTTTCTCTTCGGAGCTTCAGTTGCAAACTTAATTCGATCGTATAAGTCCCTTCCTCTCGGTAGAACTTCTACTAAGCTCCATTCTTCCTCCTTCAGGGTCACAGGCGCTCCTTCATCATCAAAGATTACTAGATCATGACCATCGACATGGCCTACTGTGAGCTGGGGTGGGTCCGTCGGGTTTGCTCGAATAGACAGCGAATAATCTTCTTGAGTCGTTATTGAGGCACCTCTCCACATGAGCACTGGTGCTGGAGGGTCTCTAGCCGTGTTAAGAGAGACCTGGTAAGAGTCGTCACTCATACTAGCTGTAGTCGTGGAGCACCTCTCCCGGGATGAGGATGGGGTGTCTTTCTTCAGTCGCAGTTGATCTCAAGATTGGAGCTCCGTTCGGGGTTTGCGTAGGTCTCTTCTTTCTTCTTTCTGGGTTCTTTGAATCTCGGTCTTCTCTCGCGGAGGTGCAAATAAAGGTCTTTCTCAAGTCTCAAACGGGGTCTGTCGGTGGATTTCTCTTTTTTTGTTGTGAGGAAGAAGAAAGGAAGAAGTGGAAGTGTCCCAAGTGCATGAAGTTTCGCAAAAAAAAAAAAAAAAGAGGAAATTCCAAATGAGGGGCACCATATCAGAAGTCAACATTCTCTCGGTTGGTTTCCTAGTAAGGAGATGGGAGGCACCAAGCGCCAGTCTCCGTGGTGGAGTCTCGGCTGGCTTGACTGGCATCTCCACTTGGTCTTCTCCGGGTTCCGAAAACCTCACGGTGGTCCGGAGAAGCCCATCAGACCCACCAAGGCCGCACGGACCTCCAAGCCCGAGCCGTCTTGGTGGGTATCCTCCGGATTAACGGTCTGGGGAAAGTAGACAGAATGGAACAGTCGCTTCACAAGTTTACAAGTGGTTAAAGCCGACTGTCTAATTGAACACCAGTGATCTGGTCATGAGGGAGACAATGGCCGGGGAACTATTAGCCTGCATGTGCTTTGCAAAGGTGTTGAGCAGCCAAGTGAAACTATGCTGTGGAAGGAAGAATCAATTTTATCTTTACAGTCGTGAAGACATAGATGTCTCTTACATGATAACTCTTCAAATGCCATCGCTTACAACTTACGCTATTGTAATTTAGATGCATCATATTCAGATTATTATCAGATAAATTCAATGATATAACTATAGAGCTAGCGACCCGTATCTATTAGGCTGGAGCCGGTCCAGCCTCTCCAGCCTCTCCAGTCTCCGCAGCCTCCTTCTTAGCAACCGGGATAGTGATGACCCGGCCAGCACTATGAAGTGTTTCATGGACATGTCGGAGCGCCGAGGCCTTGGTGACATACATTTCACCGTTGGGACCCTCCACCAAAAACGTCTTGTCGGCCTCCTTTGCTTTGCCCTTGCCCTTGCCCTTTCCTTTTCCTTTGCCCATGTCCTTTTCTTTGCCCTTGCCCTTGCCCTTGCTCTCGTCCTCCACCAATTCTCCAGTGACATTGATGTCACCGACTACCACCAGCCCACATCGATGTCGTGTAAGCATCACGTTCAGGCGTTGCTCGTGGGAGGTGAAGCCAGGCCCAGGCTTCGGATGTGCGGTGCCCATGACGACAATGACGATGTCGTTTTCTTGGCCCTGGAACGAATCGACTGTTGACGGCGGTGGAATGCCTTTGAGTGCCTCGTACGCGGCCTTTTTACGCAGCATATAGTCGAGGAGGTCAACATTTGCCGAGTACGGGGCGATGATGACGATCTTGGACGGGTCCACGTTCTTGGATTTGACTAGATCAACCGCAAAGTCCAGCGCAATTTTGACCTGGTCGGGACTCCTCTTTGAACCTGTGGCAGCATCGGTGTACACTCGGGAGCCTGGAGTGTGCATGAATACTGGAAGGAGCTTGCCTTCGGGGCAGGGTGCGACTGTCGGATACTTTTCTCGTATATAGCTCTCCAGGGACCTCCCAATGTCAAAGCTGGCGTTGGCAATGTTGCAGCTGCTCGCGTAAACATGGGGTACGCCTTTGTAGACGATGTTTGAGACCATGTCAAAAAGGCCGTCACCCATGCGCAGCTGTGTTGTTAGGCGATACACCGGGATGCCAATTGCCTGGAAGAAAAGCAAAGCCGAGATGGAGCCACTTTTTGCGAAGCGGTTGAGAAAGTTGCCGGCACTATCTTTCTCATTGGTCGTCATGACGGTTGGAGGCAGCTGCTTGGGGTCGCCAAAAAGGAAGCACGGCGAGAGAGTATTGCCCCAGACACAGTAGAGGTCCGCCCGGTTCATGTTGGCCGCCTCATCCACTGCAACGCCGCGAGCAGTTTGATTTTTCCAATCTCGATACTCACTAACATTCTCAGTTGCGGCGGGCGTTGTGCAGAGCATATGGGCGTATTGCAAGAGACGGAACATATAGTACTGAATTGACTTGTCCGAGACCAAGCCCTCCTGTTCGTACTGCTCCCAGGTGGTGACTCCGGTGGCAACATCACGCAAGCGTTTGAGTGGCAATACTTGGTCAATCTTCCGGCGTAGGTCCCATAGGCACTCATCATCGTCTGGGTGCAGCTCTCTGACTGCGGGAGAGCCCAAGATTGCCAAGAGCCAGAAAGCCAAAGAAAGATGAAGAGTCCATCGAGAAGAGTATCCCCATGCCTTTGGAGCTGCCTCATCGCCTAGGGTTGGGTCTTTGAGCAAGGCATTGAAGGCACCCACCTCGGCGTTTGGCTTGTACGCTCTGATGACAACGCGATGGCGATAGCGGCTTGGATCGTTCTGCTCCTTGCCTCGGTTGCAAGCTTCGGCCATGGCGCGTGTTCTCTTGTCCAAACGAGCGGCAAAGTTGTCTACCGCGACGTGGGTCGGCGCAGAGCATAGGACTCGGCGAAACTTCTCCACCATGGCTGCTGTTGCCGCTGCACCTGCTGTTGTTTTTCCAGTACCGGGACCCTACAAATCTAGTTAGTTGATTCAGACGTAAATAATGTTAGAAGGGGGGACCTACGGCTGCGATTATACCAAGTCCAAGAGGGCGGTTGCTCAAGTATCCACGGAAACGCTCACGATCATGGGGAAGTGCTTCGTTGACAATGGCTTCGGCACGGGCATCATCGTTAAAGTCCAGGAAATTGACGGAGGGCAACGGACGATAAGTGACACCGGTATCGGCCACAGACAAAGACGACATGTCGTCGGCGATGGATTTTGGCGCATCTTTCTTCGTCATCCACTCGTAGAAGCCATTGCCACGCACGAGAGCTCGGTGTAGCTCCATCCTATCCTTTACCTCCGCCAAGGTGGTCTTTTGCTCGTCCTTGAGCGGGGCCCGTTTCTCTGCTTGCACATTTGGATTTGGCAATCGCCAGCAGACAGGATTGGATGGCTCTGAGAGGGGGTGGAAGAGGGAAACGGCTTCGACTCTTCGCTTGCAGTCTAGTAGCCCGGCATCAAAGCAGAGACCGACGTGGTGCCATTGCTCGTTCCCTTGCTTCAGTGCATCATTCGCCTCCGCACGGTCGCCAAAGTCCCTGACGATGTAGTCTGGATTCATGGCTGCTTGCTGTGGCCGACGGACGAGGAGAACCAGCTCGTGCGATTCGGTCTTGTGACGTTCTAGAACAGGGACCGTAGCTGGATGGTCGATAATCTTGCATTGCCTGGGTCCCTCACGGTTAGAATCAAACAAATCATGAAGCGAGATGTAAAACATACCATTTGGCGTCCGGCTCAGCGTTTTCCGCATTGTCATAAAGATGGAGCAAGAAGGACTCTCCCTTGCTTAGGCGACGCCAGGCTGATTCATGCTCCTTTGTAAACCCATCTCGCATGGCGACAACGACGAAGAAGCGTTTAGTGTCGGCCGTGGGAGCTCCAGAGTCAGGGCGAACGAAGTAGGCGGGAAATTTGGTCGCTGCGATCTGCTTATATATTAGTTTGCCATCTTAAAAAGACGAGAGTTGTGATTAACGTACCTGGATAGCTTCATCGTCAAGCCACATGACATCTTGCACATTATTCTGATTCACAGCAGTCATGTGGTGGTTGTCGTCATCGTGGCTTTGGAATCGTTAGCTATGGTCCATTGCCGAAAGGAGAGGAAATCTTACCAATAGGCCGCCTCGAACTGGTGGCCCTTATTGACTTTGATCAAGCCCTTGAACTTGTCCACATCCCACTCTTGGTCGGTGCCATACGGAGAGACATAGGGCGGTGGCAGCTTATCTGGAGAGAACCTATTCATGGCAACGGTAACAGGCACGCTGATGACGAAGTAGAATGTTCTTTGCCCAAGAACATCTAGAAGGGTGAGGTTTTCGACGATTGGCTTATTTCCATTAATCCAATCTTCCAGTTCAGAGTCCTCCGCGTTGGCAAAGGGCATGCCGAAACCATCGACTGTGACACGGGCTTCCTCTGTGAGACTGACCCGGATGATCGTGAGGCCCTTTTCACGCCCCTTTGCGTTGGGGAACCGATCGTAAACGGCCTTCGGCGCTTCTTTAAAAGCGTAGCTGCATCCATCACGAGGGAATCGGACCTTGATGAAATATTGGTCGGATGGGAGAACAGTACCACCACCCACACTTGCATCAACTGTAACCATATTAGCCTTAGAGTGTGCTGTTGAGGTCTTAGTGAAGATTAACTTACAGCTATGGCAGACTCCAAAACCCTGTTGTTCATTGCCAGTTTGCTCTTTGCCAAGGGAGAGACCGAATATGAAGCCAATCTATGGGTCCATATCTCTTTGCTTGAAAGAGCGAAACTTTGCCGAGAGTTTGGTAGATATGCCCAAGGTTAGACCACTGGCAACGATGGGACCGAGCTCGTTCTCAACTCTGCATCATGTTAGCGCAAGGAGGCAAATGAGAGATTGTCCAGGAGGGGGAACCTACACAAGGGCCGCATCAACTGTTTCGGTAACGACCTTGGGTGCCTTAACCGCCGGATTGTCAAGCACGCCGCTTTCAGTATTCTTATCCATCGTTGACCCGGACATCTTGATGATGTACTTGCGAGTTGATGGTGGAGGAAGTTCACTGCGGAAGAGTCCGTTCACTCTTCACCTAACGGTTGCCCGAAAGAAAGTACCAGTCTTCGAAAAGCGCTGGTCTAAGAAGAGATCACTTCTTCGACCACAGTTTCCTAACTCTTCTGTGCCCGCCCAACTGGGCAAACAGAAAACCCGATAGATAAACAGAACAAGCTCCCCAAAAGAGGAACTTGAAAATTATTAACTAGCGGGAAACACCAGTCTCTTTCAAAGACAACAGAGCAGTCCGACGCGGGAAAACGACGGAATAAGAAAACTTCTTGGGAAAACACGACAGACCTTAGAGTCTGTCTAAAAAACAGCGGTGAGGAGAGGCAGAATAGTACTGACGGGAAAGGACTCGGGCAGAAAAATGGTCGCAAGAATATAACGAGAGTCCTTGAAGAAGAAGAGTTCAAATCTCAAGAGGACCATCTGGGGGGAACGATATATCTCCAAACTCAATGGGTGTGGGTCCATACGCAACCGCATTCACTCAGCCCTAAGAATCACGTCACTTTACTGTCCGTGCACTTAAGTATGACCCACTTCTGACCCACTTAGTTCATGCGTGATTCACTTACAGAGCGTTGCCATAAACAGAGGGACCCCATCAGGTAAAGGACCCTAAGTAAAGGACCACTGGTGCCTTATTAAATATATAGGTATTATGCAGTATACATGGGGGACCGTAACAGTAACAAAAGCGGAGAGTATTAGTCTATAAAAGGCCTCTATGGTCCCTCATTCATACAGTAGGGTCCCTCATTCGTACAGTAGGTCCCTCATTCATACAGTAGGGTCCCTCATTCGTACAGTAGGTCCCTCATTCGTACAGTAGGTCCCTCATTCGTACAGTAGGGTCCCTCATTCATACAGTAGGGTCCCTCATTCGTACAGTAGGTCCCTCATTCGTACAGTAGGGTCCCTCATTCATACAGTAGGGTCCCTCATTCGTACAGTAGGTCCCTCATTCGTACAGTAGGGTCCCTCATTCATACAGTAGGGTCCCTCATTCGTACAGTAGGTCCCTCATTCGTACAGTAGGTCCCTCATTCGTACAGTAAGGTTACTCATTCATAGGGTCCCTTATTTACAGTCCCTCATTTACAGTCCCTCATTTACAGTCCCTCATTTACAGTCCCTCGTTCATATGGTCCCTCATTTACAGTCCCTCGTTCATATGGTCCCTTATTTACAGTCCCTCGTTTACAGTCCCTTGTTCATATAGTCCCTCATTTATATAGTCCCTCATTTGTATGGTCCCTTATTTGCAGTCCCTCATTTGCAGTCCCTCTCTGTAAGGCAGTTGAAAAGTAAATGTGTAACCAAAGCTCAATATGTATAGTAACAAGCGCTCTTTTTCAAGCCTGTTTTGCTGGGGAGCTGCCGTCGTTAGGCGCTCGATGATCCAGAATCGCTGATGCCGATGTACACTCTTAGATTCTTACACGTCTGCTCAAGCGTCTTTGCACATGCTGTATCAATTCAACGACCCTTGTAGGCAACCTATATACCTGGGATAAGTGCTTGGTTCTATTTGGTTAGACAAGATGTCAAATGTTGTCTGGGTGCAAAATCACCTTACAGATCCGTCCTTATTCAAACGTTCTTCTGTCCTTTTTTCTTGCCCGTTTTCCAATTTGTCAATTGAGCTGATCAATTGTCGGACCATAATGCTTGCCGTAAAGTCAAATGCTAGATAAAAAACAAATTCAGAGAATTTGTTTGTAGCAAGGACCTAAGCTCTCACTCGACCCCAGGGCAGACAACTCGGCAAAATAAACATTTCGTACCTTTCCAGTATTTGAAACTTGTACTTTCCAAAAGAAAAGAAAACGGGAAGAAAGAGGTGCAATCGGTTGTTGCTATGGGGAGCACTCTCTGTTGGCGGTGTCTGAGTTGTTCGACCAATTGGGGAATTATCTACCGACTGTTTTGGCCAATGCCTCGCTATTTGTCTTAGACAAATGGAAAAAAAAATGAATGAATAAATAAATTAAGAGGCAAAATGGGAATGCGTCGCAACGGGAATCTCGGCTAGTTCCAAAGTTTCCCTTTGCGACACCTCATTGCCCGTCTCAATTCAAGTGGGCAATTTTGCAGCGACTGGTTTCCCCGGCTGCATTGCTGCCGAGGGTTAAACCACTCAGGCAGATTGTGCGTGCGTATTTTTTATTAAGGTTCTACATTATCCCTATAAAGCAAAAATTAAGTTTAGAACTACGTGCGTAGGTACTAGGTAGTAGCACTGAACGAGAAATCACGACCTATCTACTCCGTACCTGGGTCACGAGAACATCTGATCCCGGTCTTATAATCTTAATTAAAGTAGCTAGCTGCGAGTGAGCAGAATAGCTCCAATCAATTGAGGTGGCGAACAAGTTGGTTGCGATGCATTGGTTGGCTCCGATCAAACAACTTGGCTTCTGCAACGGAATGAACTAGATCAATCTGGGTGGCGCGGATTGAACAAATGTGGTCGCTGCCATCGGCCGCATTGTCTTGCATGACTACGTCTTCAGTGTCGGCAATGCTCTTGATGAAGCCGTTTTCGAGGGGCTTGTACGGCATCTTGGCCTGGAGACGGAGGACGTTGTAGACCTGGTCGGCGTAGCGCACGGCGAGGCCCAGAGGTCGGGGCCGACGTCGTGGGTCACGATCATGATCAACCGCCATTCGATTGTTTATATTCCCGTCTACCAACCAGACGCCCTTGTTTCATTAGATGATCCAACGTTACATCTGTTGCGCGTTGCTTAGGTCAGCTGTTTCGCTGAAGAACTGGAGTCAAGCCCACCGGGTTTCCCATTCAACACGTGAGTAGGCATTTGGCGCACAAGCAAACGGAACATGCAAGACTCTGCGTTTTCCTTCTTGACAACACATATGGAAGATAATTCGAGGATCTAGGATAACGTGAGAGCTCCCGTAACCATGGCGACTTCGCTACCGTTTAACGACTTTTCAGTGCCATTTTTGTTTGTTATGCTCTGTGTCAAAACGATATCATGGGCTGTCGTCTACGTGATAACTGTCAAGTCTGATCTGCTCACAATCTTGGGAATATCATGCATCCTGGCGGCATTGCTTTCAAAAAGGGAAAAACGAATAGCAAACCGAACGAAGAAAATATACAACCATTGGGCTTAGTTGAAAGGTCTATACTGCCCCCATCCAGCTGTTACAGCATTGAACCTCTCATCTTGATATTAAATTTAACCTCCATACCACCCCCATTTGGTGAAGCAGGCCATAGCTAACATTGCGTTTGCCGATCCCGCTACTAGAAACCCACAATATCGCGTTAATAATGTGTCCAAGCTACTGCCACGATTGGCCGCTGGGTGTCCCATTAAACACCAAGGCCAGGTATCTCTCTATTTATTTCTCACTAACTACTCGTGCTCTAGGTACTACCCGAACATATCGTCTTATTTTTCATCATCAGCGCATTTTCGTCATCCAACGAGCGACCAAAGTCATGACCTTAATCTCGGAGCTACGGTATTTCGTAGCCAATATCTATGTGGTTAATAACCTCGCCTCTACGACTCGCTTATCAGCCGCTACCTGAATGGCGGGAAGAATTTGGCGTGTGTGACATGACGTGGTATTAGCAGACAGATCAGAGCATGGAATAGAATTGTATGCTTTGAAAGATGCTAGGCACACCTTTGTGGGCTTCAGAAAGATCTGCCCGAGCTTGAGGCCTACAGCCGCTCGACATTCAAGACTTGCAACGTTGTTGTCTAGATATAAACATTTCATCTTTAGATCGACGTTGACTCTAATCTTAGCAGCGAGTACCTTTGCCACCCGAAAGGCTTCTTTGAGAGTGTGGCGCTCACAATTCATCGGCATTGCACGTTCGCATTCTTCATACGATTCGAGCTGCTGCCGTGGCAACACGGATTATATATTGACGACTAGATGGGATATTCGCCCATCCAAATGAAATTAAAAAGACTTTCATCTCTGGCTTTCTAAACGGAAAATTATTCAAGTTCACAAAAGGCGTCTTCCAGCAATCTTCATAGATAGGAAGTCGGCTTTGCAAACATCTGTTGCCAATTTGCTCTCAGCCTAGACTCGTGTCCAGAACAGGTGATGCTTGTTTTTCAGCATTGACAAGGGTTATATGGTAATAAATTTTAACAGCCTTGCAGCTTTCCTGCCGCTAAAAGGAGTTATTTATCCGACTGTAATGTGTCCATTGGCGAGTAAACACGTATGGCTTACAGGAAGAGGATAGGAAGCAAGACAAAGTCTCGATCTCAAGTTCATCGTGTTAACGAACTGCCCTCAGAAGAAACATCTCCCAAATTATCCACAGCGATGATTTTTGGAAGTATCGGTCGCTAAATGCTTGATATATTACGACTTTTATACAAAATTACCCCTCAACAACAGCTGGTCTTTGCCACGGTGTGCGCCCTACCGGACATCAAAAATGCATCGAATACGGGAGGAAAATTGCTGAGTCTATCATACTCCACGTGTTGGTGTCTAGAATCGCTCTCATCGCCATCTGGGTCGGGTGAAGCAAGTTCGTACTAAGTTATACCGCCCACAAGTTTCATTACCAGCACTGCATTAATGGCTCTACTCCTCTCGATATTATCTCTCTCAACATCCGTCTCATTATATGATGTCCATCAAGTATCAAAACCATCAAGCGACTCTTTACCGTATGGGCTTCGAATCACCATTCAAGCACTTGGTCCTGAATTAGCTTTCCAATATGAGTTCGTGAATTGCAGAGGCCTCGCAAATGAGGTTGATCTTAGCGGGCGCTGTTGTTCATTTTCCATGTGGACATAAAGGGCAGTTGCTATAATTCCTCTTCCTTACCCCGATTCGCCTTTCTTCATTTTCATTTATACCCATTATTTCGATAATTATCCACTATGCTTTATTTATCTCTTCCATCGCAGAGCAACAACATAGGTTGACCATCGTTAGGAGCTGAGTCCACCACGCACGATCCCGTCGTGAGCATCTTCCACAGTGTCATCCAGCTTCACAATCCCTTAGCTTCTGGTTAATTGCCATTAGACATTCAAAACTAAGGGCAGGCAGAGATTTTGCTCGAATTTTTCCAAGACAAAGAAGAAGAAGACAAAGAAGAAGACAAAGAGGAAGAAAAAGAAGATGAAAAAGAAGAAGAGTGTCGGCGGTAGCGGCAGTGGCCTTGGAACACTCTGGCCTCACTAACAACAACCCTCGAAATAGACTCGAAACAGTCCGATTCTTGCGCCGTGAGGGCAGAATTTGACTTCTTATAGCACTTTAGTCCCGATCCTGAACCCGAGGACCTACTTTGTTACATTTTTCTTTTCGACTGGTAACGGAAAAGTCCGTCATCGGAACTTTGGGCTTGGGTTTTAACGCACCGCCAAATCTTGTCCTCCACATCAAATTACGCTTCCCAGACATCATCATGGCCTCTATTACGGCCCATATCGAACTTTATTGCTTGTGCCTAAGATCAGTGTTGCTGATAAGCGAGAGACTTGTCGGTTGACATGCCTGCGAGTATCCAAACATAGAGCTTGGTCAGCATCTAGTTCTGGTCCGCACTAGTTCGTCTCTCTGCTCCCCGTTCGAAGACACCAAACGAACTATAGAGCGCTACCAAGGGGTAGAGCTCCTCCCAATTAGAATCTGAAAGTATTTCTGCGAGTGTGGACGGCCATTGAAAGGGGTTGCCCCTGTTTTAGTTGGTGACGTATCTCTTTGATCTGTCACATCTTTCCAGTCATGCAACACTTGAACTTGGCGTTCTTTGGCTTGGAAGGCAGAACGTAACCTTTGAAGGCACTGAATACCTGTCCCACTTCGTTTTGATGTATATCTTTCAGTGGATAAGCAGTATTATCAGTAATCCAACGACCATTTCTGTCTCGGCCGTGCGTCCTCATTACAACCGCATTTGCGAGATATTTATACTTCTCAGCAATAGCCAAGCGGCCGGGCTGAACAGCAAAGGTTGCATGGACTGGCCCAACATGAGTCATCCATCTATATGTGAGTTTGGTAGCCGCTGGCCCTTCGAGTAGAATCAGATGCAATGCTACAGTCTGAATCTTCGGCCTTTGGAGCCAGACACCAATGCTTAATCATTATTAAATCTCTCCGATTCCTTTTCATCATGTGACCTTGAAAACATTTCCTTACAGCAGGCTTCTTATCAGTCGTACACGCCGTTGTCTGCGCTGTCGGGGAATCGCCGCCTCACGGGGTCATTGCGTTGATTCGAGGTTGATAAAGTGCAAAAATTCTTGGAGTCGGGCCGTGGCTTTACGCTCCCGTTAGAGTGCTCGGTTGTTCTACCTCATCGTCTTCTGGAGAGGCGACAATCTCAACTGGAGACGCTGAGGTGACTATATTTGTATGTACTCGTCGAAGACGCTCGTTAAGATTCTCCTGCCGAGAGGAGCCCTTGCCGGTATGTCGCTTGGAGTTGGGATGTGGGCAGTTGACAGTGTTCTTAGGACCGTCGTGCTTCCTATGAACCTCTCGCTCCTACTGGAGGAGGCGGCCAAAATATGTAAATCCAGGTAGATTCTCACAGCCCTCAGCTGGGCAGCGATAAGAACATTCGTGTTTATCCATATATTTGATGTAGGCATCTTGGCTCTTCTTGGAAAATGGACGGTGGAACTTAACATCGCGGCCAGTGTCGTATGGCGATGCATCTTTTAACCCTTTCCGAGGCATTTCTTCAGCGGGTAACCCATCCCCAGACTTGATTGACACCTTTTCATCCCGTTCTTCCTTTCGCACATGTTCGCCATACTCCATGCTAAGTCCAAAGCTCTTGAGCATGATTTCTCACACTCTCGATTCAACCTCTTCACCGCACAGCGCTTTCCTTACCCTCCCCAAGCCTGACTCGCCTTTTATGAGCAACGTGCTGCCCTCCCTTTAATGTCTGTTCCAGTCTTTGTGGCCCACTAGGTATTCTGCAGACGTGACGAGATCGTCCCGTCCACAAGCAAAGGTTTGTGCCAACCCTATGACGCACTACTCTTCATTGACCGGCAGAATTGCTGATGTCCATCTTAGGCAAGAACTCCTCGACAAGTACCACTAAACCCAAATCCTCGTCTTCGTTGGTGAAACTGGCTCCGCAAAGACTACACAGATTTCGCAATACGTCGTGTACGATGGGCTCCCGCACCTTAATGGCATTAATACTCCATATGAGTTGCCATAACGTGATATTAGCGATAGTAGCAGAGAGTAGCAGAGAGTAGCGATAGTAGCAGAGAGTAGCGACAGTAGCAGAAAAGGCATTACTTCTTCAGAATAGGTCAAGGCAATGTGACGTTTGTGGGATTTTATGGCAAATATATTCAAGATCTGGATATTTTGTCTTCTATTTGCTCTAAAAGGAAAATATCCTTAGTGCATGAATTAAGGAAAATGACATGCCTCTTCGAGAGCTGGGTATTGATGCCCAGAATGTTGGAACGACCAGCAAGGGCAAATCGTTAAAGCACTTTTGGAACTTTTGGGCATTAAGCGTGGCAGATATGGTGATGATCTTAAGGTTGGGGCGTCTCTCTGCAATCTACTTTAGCAGAGCTATGAGAATATCGGTCGTCAATGTTCTCTCGTGCGCTTCGTTAAGAATGATGCAGCTGCATCTGGACATACTATGGTCGTGTATGGCCTCACACAGAAGCATACCATCCGTCATGCACTTCAACATGGTCTTGGGCGTCGTCTTGTCTTCGAAACGAATGCCGTAACCGACTTCTTCTCCGAACGTGACATCCATCTCATCAGCCACACGCTAGGGTAGTAGTGACATAGCAGCGACTCGACGTGGCTGCGAACAGGCAATAAGCTTGCCATTGAGGTGCGGTAGCTCATCGTACACGGCGTATTTGGGGAATCTGGGTGGTCTTTGTTTACCAAGCTTCGTCTAGCGGCAACCGCTGTTAAATTTCAAGTCAGTTACATGCCCAAATGGCTTAGCCAGTCGTTTCTAGGAGAGCTACCTTTCTGCGCTGTGGTTGTAGCATTACGGCTCAATTGCGAATAGTGGTTTTCTGAGGAAGCTTTTCGCCGCTGCAATCTGGGGCAAGTTTATTTGCGTCTTGGGTCATGGGTGAATCCTGATTTTGCTCATTAGTAGGACTTTGGAATAAGGGATAGCCTGCCTGTTTCTTACTTTCTGGAGTTTTGCTGGGGAGCGTTGGCTCAGATGCTGGCTTGAAGGCCAAGCTTTCGACTGAAACAATTGTTGTCATTTTTCTTGTTTCTCTCCTGCGCAATATTGCTTTTTGGTGAGGTAAGATGTTCTAGCAAGACAGGTGACGCGGCGATACTGGGATTTCATGGCCTATTTTCAACAGAGAAGCAGAGGCTGGTTGACGAAATTGACCTCTCGCTTCATGCGCGCATCCAAGGGGAGTCAGTGTTGGGGAGAGGAGAGGTCCATTCGACGAGTCTGGGTTGCGAGCTTGGTGATTCTTCTCGGCCTCCGTATACTATACGATGACAGGGATACCCGGAAGTTTCTGTCCATTGAATTGTACGGCCGGTTGAACCGATCGTGTATCATGCGGTAAAGAGAGTGAATCAAGAGGGTCGGGAAGCAGCGGTTGCAACGGTTGCAACGGTACCAAGAGGTACTCCGAAGTACCTTAGTAATAGTACTGCCTAGTACCTGTGTTGAAAATAGCGGTAGTACCTGCAACAACAGTGGAAAGTAAGAGAGAGTAGCGACAATAGCGGAAAGTAGCAGAGAGTAGCAGAAAGTACCAAGTAGCGACAGTAGCGGAAAGTACCTACCTGTAGGTACCTAGGTAGCAGCACAAGAGGCCCTTAAACGCCCCACCCGCTCCTCTCTCTCTCTCCTTCGTTCTACAGGGCATCACCTTCCTCACGCCACTCCAATAAATTCATCATCGCAAAAGCAATCGGCAAGGCTTGAGTGCGGAGGAAACACGTACAGCAGACTTTCCAAAATGCAACAGTGTCACATCTGCGAACAGTTATTGTGGAGACGCCGCTCGCTGGACGTTCTCCGGACACGATATCCTTGAGAATGAAGAATCACCTCTCTTCTCTCCCCCCCAAAAAAACAGCCCTTGGACTCCAAGACTTTACGGCGGCTCCAAAAAGGTGCTCTTCGATTAAACGACGAAACACTGTGGCCATAGCTTGTCAATGGGACAAGGCAGGGAATCGTCCAGACTAATTGATCGCAAGTTGTACCATCTCATAATCACACGCGTGCGTGATATCAGCTGCGATGTCATTATTGATCGCGCATGTGCTGCGGTAACAACAATGGACGAAGGCGTCTCGAGGCATGTGGACACTAGTGTCAGAGAAAGGCGTAAACGAGGGACAGAGGGATAGAGGAGGTTTCTACTACACAAGAAACCCAAAACTGAAATGGAAGCCCTGGAGACCAAATTTCTCGCCCAGGTGCGAAACTCAGGCCCATACCTGACCAACCATTCTGCACGCTTCTCGAACTCCTACCTCAACAACCCACCGTTATTGAAGAGCTCATCTCCATCAGCGGCAGTCTGCATACTTCTCGGATTCCCACTTCGACACCTCGCCTTCTGCACACTTCTCGAATTTCCACCTCAATTCTTATAACACCATCTCTCAGTGTTATTGATGAGCTCATCTCCATCAGTGACCATTTGTATCATTTACAAACGTTAGAAGGATCCATCGCCACGATGCATGGTCCCGACCCTGAGGAGGTCAAGCGAACTCTTTTTGCCAATCTCGGAAGAAGCAGGCAAGATGAACTACCATTCAGCAATGTGGCGAAGCGACCCCAGAAACTCTGGAACGAACCATATCCCGCAAGCTCGAAAAGAGAGCATTGAGAGCAAAATAGGTAACCAAATCGTTGATGAAGAAAGTCAACAGCTGGAAGGCCTAGAGCTTGGTAACAGCCACCCTTGGGCTCAGATCACAAATCAGTACATGGCGCGCATGCACTCGAGTCCAGACCGCTGAGGCACGCCACATAAGGCCTTTCGCCATTCCCAAAGCACCCTCGTCTATAATCGTTGATAATGAAAGCCAACAGCTGGAAGGCCTAGAGCTTGGTAACAGCCACCCTTGGGCTCAGATCACAAATCAGTACATGGCGCGCATGCATTCGAGTCTAGACTGCTGAGGCATACAATGGGAGCACGCCAATTAAGGCCTTTCGCCATTCCCAAAGCCCCCCTCGTCAATCAAATCTTCGAAAGGCGTCACCCAAATCCCCCTCGTCTATCAAAGGGGTCTCCTCAACATATACCTACATACCTATGTACTACTAAGTAACCCGTTACCTTGTACAAATGATTAAGAAAGGCTCTAAGTGAGCAGATATTCGGTACGTTAGTGACTTCGTAGAGTTCAAATATCGTAAAAGATGCAGTGGGATGGCTCTCTTAACCACCTAAGCACATACACAGTTCCCTAGGTATCTGCTACTCTCTGCTACTCTCTGCTACTCTCTGCTACTCTCTGCTACTCTCTGCTACTGTCGATATATTCCTCTAGTATCTGCTACTATCGCTAGCTAACTAGGCCGGCAGCCTCGATCAAGCAATGACATCCCCATTTCAAGCGCAACGTCGCAAGATCTCCAAGAGATATCCGAAAAGCCAAGTAAGCACATAAAGCACACCACGGCAGATATCAAGGAGCTGATCTTCAAGAGATATCCGAAAAGCCAAGTAAGCGCATCAAGGAGCTGATCTCCAAGAAATATCCGAAAAAGCCAAGTAAGCGCATAAAGCACACCACGGCAGATATCAAGGAGCTGATCTCCAAGAGATATCCGAAAAGCTAAGTAAGCGCATTAAGGAGCTGATCTCTAAAAGATATCCGAAAAGCCAAGCAAGCGCATAAAGCACACCACGGCAGATATCAAGGAGCTGATCTCCAAAAGATATCCGAAAAGCCAAGTAAGCGCATAAAGCACACCACGGCAGATATCAAGGAGCTGATCTCCAAAAGATATCCGAAAAGCCAAGTAAGCGCATAAAGCACACCACGGCAGATATCAAGGAGCTGATCTCAAAAGATATCCGAAAAGCCAAGCAAGCGCATAAAGCACACCACGGCAGATATCAAGGAGCTGGAGACGCATAGCACGCCAGAATAAGATCAAGGCCTCGGGTCTCCAGGAGATCCAAAGGAGGTCGCCTACGCCAGTTGAACCCAAGAAGAGTGTGCCTACTCCAGGTGAACCCTAGAAGAGTTTGCCTACTCCAGATGAAGCCAAAAAGAGCTCACCTACTCCGGATGAACCAAAGAAGAAGGCAGTTCTGGGCATGGCCAAACATAGAGCAGTTATCTTCTCATGTGCCATACATTCTTTATTCCTTCGTAACGTGGGTAGGCTTCTCTAGTTCTGCGGGGGCGCAAACTTCACAATGTTTTTGCCATTCTCCTCATACCGATCAATTTGCATCTTCAATTATCGGAAACGGGACATTCTAAGGCCGGCGATTGTAGCTAAGGGATAGCCTGTTTTGTTCAGCGTTCTTCTTCTTTGTCATAGTCTACTACGCCACCCAGAACAATCTTTGTTAGTGAATGCCAACACACCGTTTGCAGAGAACCCGGGGTACTAGGTAGCAAGAGGTGAAAATGCAAGTGTAAGGGCAATATGCGATAAAGAAAGAAAACCCGTAGTTCCTGGAATGAGGCTAAAAGTCTTGTACAAAGAATAATTGTGCCTGGTGCAAACAGATGGGCCAGGGCTAAGCCACACCTGTTCGACAAAAGTTTGAGGATAATGATGGCCAGGAGATGCTCAGGGAGAGTGATAAGGATCAACCAAGCCGTAGGCACATGTATTGAAGAGACTACCAACCTCATCTTGATGTAGTGAATCTTTTGGCAGTCCTTCATCGGCAGTGAAGCCAACGATGCCCGGCGCTATCGAAAGGATACGTATCCTCTGGTGACATTAGGTTATAAGGATAATATGCAGTCACCCTGTCGCCCAAGGGCACATAAAAACAGAGCGGATGCCCGAGTGGCATAACCGTAAAGCAACGACCAGGGAGGAGTACTTGACGAATCCCGGTACGTAGCAGCAGCGACCGGGGAGGAGTACTAGACGAATCCCGGTCGCTGCAAACTGGGCGCCCCGTTACAACATTTCATTTTGCCTCTTTCTTTCTTTTTTTTCTTTTTTGGGGAGCATATAATAAAGATATTATTATTTTTTGAGGCCCAAAAAAAGGTGGCCAGGAAAGAAACGTGGTGTGCCGCTGGAAGTAGGTGATAACAGGAGCAACAAGTAGCAGGTAAGTTGGAGCATCAGGCAAGGAACGTGGTCCGAGCAATTGAGACGGACTTTTCCCCTCTCCACAACTTGTTCAGCTTTCATTGTTCTTCTTACCAGGCATCTCCTCGAGATTTTCTCTTCTTACATCTAAAGCTACCAGCATTTTTTTACCCTTGCGAAATTTCTCTAAGGCCAAGGGAGGCCTCCTCAGCACTTTGGTATTCGCCAGTTGTGAGGAAGCATATCCAAGGCCACATGATGTAAGAAAACCAGTGAACTTTCAGAATGGCTAAGAATAACTCTTCTCATGCTAATACAGACTTCCTTTGTAGATTCACCTATCATACTCGCCCAGCAATCCCCCCGAAAGCTCGCTGAGTATCCCTGAGCGGCACCACCAACAGAATCTCGCTTTCGTTTCCAGAGCGCTACCATAGCCGCATCCCTAGTTCATAATGTTTTTATTTGTTTATCCCCCTTAAGCGGCCAGATCAGCGACAGCTCGCACCACGACCTTGATAGGCGTACCAGCGCTGGAAGTGCTGTTCGTCGATTGCGGCAGAGGCGGCCGCTGGTGATGATATTGATTAGAGCGGTCGAGAAGCAGATTTTTGGTTACACATGTAGGTTCCTCATCCATACTACGCTAGAACATGATGATTTCGATAATCTGCTATGGCCAAGAAAGAAACGAGTACATATCAGCAGAATAGGGGGAAGGGCGAACAAGAGGTTATATTCAAGACATAATTATCAACAGAGAAAGAAGCCTCAGCCTCCTTTTTTTTGTCAACGAAGGCCTTCTTCAAAGGGGCTTTGACAGCCTCTATTTGTTGAATACCGTCCATGAACGTATCTAGAGGATAGATTCCTTCATCCTCATCATCAGCATCCATTGATTCTGCAGGGGATCCATATCGGCTGTTTCCTCTCCATCGGTAACATGATCGCCGTTGGCTTCCTGCGTGGCTTGAGGTCCGAGATCATCTCCTGATGAGCGTGGCTCTCTCTTTAGCTTTCGGCTTGATTTTCAGACACCTCGACTTCAAATCGTAGTCAACCTGGATGTCAAGCTGGCTACCGAGTTTGACAGGGGAAAGGTGATATCACTAAAAATGAGCGAGAATGGCGAAACGTTTGAGGGTATGGAGGCTGAAGGCGATTCGGATAGTGGATCAACGTTCGATTAAGCTGAAGTTCATCTGTCAGCATCTTCGGCCCAGACAACTCCGAGGAAGTTGAAGTTGATTCAGAAGCAGAGGACAACACGAACAACACGGGCTTTTGTGACTTGTTTCAGTCTCTCGGCATACTTGAGCGGCGTAGCGGTATTCATGGCATTGACAAAAGCGATCAGCGTCGCAGAGAAAACAGGCGGATGCCTACAAGGATGGAGAGGAGCACGAGCGAAATTATTTAGTATATGGTTAAACAGACAGACCTTATCGGCCATAATATTCTGTCTTCCCTGAAAGTGGTGCGCTTATTTCATACAATACTTGTCGACTCACAAATGCCTGCAACATCTAGCATCCTCCTGAAAAATTAGCTAATGAAAGGGGGCCCAAAATCGCCATGTGCAATATTTGCAGAGATTTTCCTAGTGTCACTATCTCTCAAAGAGTAGGACAATTTCGACTTCGTAGATTAGGGATGACCTAGTCTGCAGCGTAAGAACAGCAGGGGGACGCGACGAGCTTCGAACTCAGGAGGCTGCTGGTGTCGGCATCGAATGTGCCGCCGCATAGGGCGCGACCGCTGAGCTCAAGATGCATCGTGATCAGGGAAGATAGCAGAGGATTTTTGCAATCAGGAAAAGGGAAAAGGCCTGTTGCAAGTTAACCAAGTGACAATAGCTGATTGATGGGATCACATACATTACCTATGCCCTTGTGCCTCACAAACATCTTCAATCTGCCAGAATTCACACGCGTTCTGAGCTCAGAATTCACACTCATTGTGCACTCTGCAGAATTGAGGAGATGCGGGCGAAGTGTTTGGAGGAGGCTCACCGCAGTTCTTAGCACATCCGAAGATCCAGACAGTGGTGTCATCACTTTGGGTCTTGAATTGGGCCACACTGATATGCGGGCATCTTCGCCAACTCTGGAGCTTTTCTGAACGACAAGCACTAGGGCAAGAAGTTCTTTTTACTGGTTTCAAAGGATCATGAGTGCCATAATATATTCATCGGGCGTAAAACTTTCTGTAGACTCTGCTGCATCCTCAGTCTGCGGTGAAAGCAAAGGATCGTGAGTGCTAGAACTGTCTAAACTGAGAATTTTTTTACTCTTTGTTTGCGTCTGTGTCGGAGCAGAACATCATGGTTGACAAAATCGACAGATATGAGGAATATTGAAGAGCTTTGGGGAGCATCCTTCGCAATCTGTGTCCGCGTGTACGATGCGGGCAAAAGATTGAGAGTGACGGAACGGGCCTCTTCTAAAGCCGGGTATTACTAATAAACAATAACACTTGTGCCATGAGAATATGAGCTTGCTGAAGCCATTCTAGAGATCCTAGAGCCTTATATAGACAAGAAGCGAAAGCTAGTGTTTGTCGAGTCCGAGGCTTGCCAGGACATCAAGTAGCTTTGGAGTGATGGATCTGAGATACTATCCCTTCGAGGTCTTCTTGAGCAACCAGACAACAAAGGAGTACACCAGGCTGAATAGAATTAAATAGTAAGAAGGGCCTCCTGAGCGTCCTTGACGACCTATCCATCTGCATCACGCACCCGCACAACGCCAGCAATGACGCTATATCTACCCCCGCGCCCTCATCAGAGTTGCTATTGAGGAGATTTAGGAGAAGGAAGCAAAGGCAAAAGGTGAGGAGCACAAGCCGGCTCTATGGTCCAGAATAACTTATTGTGAGGCGATATTTGCCCGGCTTTGTCGAGCAGTATGAAGATAAATGTCTTGCTTGGGTGTTAAACTTTTGGGAGAAATTCTAGAATTCTTTCCCTACGTATGTATGTAGTAGGAGCACAGGATTTTGAGTACTGTGGGTGCAGGAATTGACGCAAGTGACGGGTCTCTTCCAACTCTGGGTGTAACCCATTAGAAATCCGCTTTGAACCCCTGCTTGGTAGGCAGCTTTGTGCCCAGCCTCATATCTATGATCAAATGTGGTTGTCGCTCGATTCTCGTCTGAAATAGCGCCAGCGCTTATGTCTTTCCCAGGGTTGGTATTCAGATTACCAGTCTTCTGCACCTGCGTGTCCTTCTTCACCTTCTTTCTATCGTTCTCTTGGTTCTGCGCATTTATTTTGTGGTATGGTCTCTTTTCGTTAAAATGGGTTAAAAAAACTCAATTCTCGATTGCCTCGCCCATTCTTCAAAGTCCCTAGGCTGTTGAATGCGTGATGTAATAGCATTGGTATTCAGATTACCAGTCTTCTGCACCTCCGTGTCCTTCTTCACCTTCTTTCTATCGTTCTCTTCGTTTTGCGTATTCATTTTGTAGTATGGTCTCTTTTCGTTCAACGGTGTAAAAAAACTCAATTCTCGATTGCCTCGCCCCCTCTTCAAAGTCCCTAGGCCGTTGAATGCGTTGCAGTGCAATCTCAAGAATGTTTTTATCGGGGTTAGTATCCAGATGACCAATCTTCTACACCTCCGTATTCTCCTTTACCTTCTTTCTATCGTTCTCTTCGTTTTGCGCATTCATTTTGTGGTATGGTCTCTTTTCGTTCAACGGTGCAAAAACACAATTCTCGATTGCCTCGCCCCCTCTTCAAAGTCCCTAGGCCGTTGAATGCATTGCAGTGCAATCTCCAGAATGAGTTGTCATGATGTGATGTCTGCCGGGCTTTTATGGAAGATTTCTTTTGAAGTTGGATATTTTATATTCTGCCCGCCGTGCTGGAAAAGGCTGTATGTGCCTGAACTGTCGTAAGTGACGTTTCTTTCTCAAGGTAGATATTTGCATTCTCTGTCTCCGTCCGTGGCGGGTGCAAAGGATTGTAAGTGCCGGAACTGACGAAAGTGACATGTTTCTTCCTATGTCGCGTATTTCATATTCTCTATCAATATGTGTGATAGGTTTAAATGATCGTGAGTGCTGTAGCTGTCTCGGAGTAAGTATCTAGCATTCATCATCAATTGGAGATCGACAAGGATTGAGAAGAAAATACACAGCAGAAAATAGAGTAATATAGCCATAGTAGCCATAGTAGCAGAGAGTAGCCATAGTAGCGATAGTAGCAGAGAGTAGCGATAGTAGCAGAGAGTAGCGATAGTAGCAGAGAGTAGCAGAGAGTAGCAGAGAGTAGATTATAGGGTATACTGGAGGAACTGAGTATCTACTTGAGTATCTGCATTTTGATTTAAAGCTCAACTCCACGTAGTTGTTCAGGCGTTGGATAGCCAATGACGGTTCGCTAATATTCTTGCCCTTGGGGATCTTGAGATTTAGAAGATGGCGACGCCTGGGCGGCTTCTCTTCCATCTGTGGCTCTTCCTCGACGAGTTGGTAGCCCAGAGACTCCTCGTCGTATTTGATGGGCTGCTTGATACGCGCCTTGCGACTTGATGTGCGGAGTAGTCACCCATTCTAAGGTACCGCTTCTTCCAGCGTTGCAGAACTTAGAGAGAACCTTTTGCATTCTCTGGCTATCTGCATGTGCGATGAGAGCAAAGGGTCGTAAGTGTCGGGATTGACAAAAATAACGGGTCTTCTAAAGCCGGCATCATCATCATAGCTGACAATTCGGCTCGACGTCTCAATTTAGTGATCAATACTGCCTTCCTCGTCTGTATACTGGATTGACTCCTGGTAATTGTGCTCGTTCTCGTATTGAGATTGATTTGGGTTGCTGATCTTTGCTTGGCTGTCTTGTAGATTTGCTTTTTCAACGCCTCACTCGTAACCTAATTGAAACATGCTTTGAAATCCTGCTTGGTAGGCGGCTTGGAACCCAGCCTCATATCCCTGGCTAAATGTGGTTGTAGCTTGGTTCATGTCCGGAATGGGGCCAGTGGTCATGTCATTATCAGGCTTGATATCCGAATGATCAGTCTTATCCACCCTCGTTTTCTCCTCTGCCTTCTTGACTGGTACACACTTCCTTGTGAAACTCAAAGGGTTCCCAGTGAGGCTATCAGCAGAGGCAGAGCCTACTCGAGCACGCTTAAAACAAGCCGTAGAGGCATCTGGTCCATCAATGCTGGCCGAATCGTTGTCTGGAAAGTTCCTTTTCTTGGTCAAACGGGTTTCATCTTCGTTACTGAGCGGGCTTACGAAGTCTCCTGGCTTTGGTTGATCTGTGGCCATGGCGTATGATGGGACTGGGCTGGGCAGCGTCTTGGCAAGCTCTGCAGCATGCCTTGAGCTCTTTTTCTCTGTCAATAAAAAGCAAATAGAGCAGCCCACGAAAAGTATGGTGGCCAATAATGGTGAAGAATAATGAGGCAATTTAACGTGCTTCAACTCTGTTTTCTGAGAAGCCCAGGCGTGAGTGGACCCAATGACGGGCAACCTGAGGCCCTGCCTATTTCATCGGCGCGCACTCGGCACGGTACTTGGTAATAGTCCAGCTGTTGGCCAACCCAGAAGTCAAATTTGTAAATTCTCAGCTGTGGTGAAGAAGAACCGTGATCTTCGAAATGAGATTGAAGGTGCCACGTTCTTTTTTGGTGATGAATATCGGGCTCCCATACCCAACTAGTCTCCGTCGCATGCCCTGATGAATTATATTCCGAAGCCTATGCGGATGACAGTAAACTGCAGGCGTTCCTCTTCTTAAAATGCGACCGCGTTCCCCGTCATATTGACTGGAATCCGGGATGTGTAGAATGTAGCGCTGCCGTGATTTTCATGGGCTTCTCTTGGTGAATTTGGGTTGAGGACCAATATCACAGCTGGCGAAGAGCTTCGCGCACGATCTCCCGGCACAGCAGCCATGAAGCTTGAGTCTAAGCCCAAGGTCGTGGCGATCTCGCCTGAGACCGACGAGCAGATCGCCACTGAGAAGGAATCAACTGGGCCGCCTACGAGTGACCTTGCTGCCATATCCGTTCTTACCCACGCGACTGCATTTATTGAGGCGGAAGAAAACACGCAGGCCGTAATGCCTGCGCCATAGACTGGCTAGAAATCCACATTGATGCCCTCATCGTAACTCCCAGGATCGTAACGGTGCAGCAGCTCGGATGAATATCTCCCCGTTCGCTCCCAGCAGCTTTTTGATAAAGTAACGTTTATGGAGTCGGTAGGTGTAGATGCACGCATAAAGAGAACATTGACTCTATTGATGGACGCTCTGATTGATTACCGAAAACCCGCAGCGATCGTGAAGGTGTGCGAGACACCACATCCTCCCTAACTTGGAATACCCAGATTGCTTTGCCCTGGCCCGAAAGGCCCTCTGTTGTTGCTTAGGTAAAATAATGCCTCAGTGAATTGAGATGTTCTTCTAGTTGGTCTCGTCCAATACTGTCCCAGAGAAGTTGTCTCATACACTAGAGATTTGGAGGTGGTCACGTTAAGCTCCATCTGTTCACCACTCTCAGTTCTCTGACAATGTGGGACATCCACTTTGAAAGCCGCGAGCTTTTGGATGAAGTTCCCTCAAGACCAGCGACATCTTCAGCGAGGTTGTTTTGCCTTGACCTGGAACGCCCTTTGTCTCTGCGTAGATAAAATAATGCATCAGGGGATTGAGATGTTCTTTTGGTTAGTCTCGTCCAATACTATCCCAGAGAAGTCGTCTAATACACTAGAGACTTGGAAGTAATCCATCACGTCGAGCCAATCTCAGTTCTCTGACAACGCGGGACATCCACTTTGAAAGCCGCGAGCTTTTGGATGAAGTTTCCCTAAGGCCAGCGAAATATTCAGAGATTGCTTTTCCTTGACCCGGAACGCCCTCGGTTTCTGCTTAGATAAAATACGCATCCGCATCGAGACGTTCTTCCGGATGGTCTCGTCTGACACTATTCCAGAGAAGTCGCCTATTACACCAGAGACCTGGAGTTGGCCTGCCACGTTTATATGTCACCGCTCTCAGATCTCCGGCAACGTGGGACATCCACTTTTGGAAGCTGCGAGCTCTTTAACGCCAGCGATATGTTCATATGGATTCTGGATTCGCGTTGCGGGTAGGTGATAAAGGGTAAATAACCCCTGAGGCAATTGAACCGTTGTTTCAATGTCGATGGTAAAACTATCGGTTATGCCTTAAAGCCAGCGATATATTCGTGTGGATTCTGGATTTGCGTTGCGGGTAGGTGATAAAGGGTAAATAACCCCTGAGGCAATTGAACCGTTGTTTCAATGTCGATAGCAATTCTATCGGACACCAGAGACCTGGTGTTGGCCTGGTTAAGCTCCATATGTCACCGCTCTCAGATCTCTGGTAACGTGGGACATCCACTTTGACAGCTGCGAGCTTTTGGATGAAGATTCCCTTAAAGTCAGCGATATGTTCATATAGATTCTGGATTCGCGTCGCGGTAGGTGATAAAGGGTAAACAGCCCCTGAGGTAACTGAACTGTTGCTTCAATGTCGATGGTAATTCTATCGGTTACCGTGGGGAAAATTGCGTTCGTAGAGGAAGATGGACCTCTTGCCAGAAGTATGGGGGCGTTGTGCAGGATATTTAGTGTCCTAGAATGGGCCTGATAACCCGTGCTGGGTACTCGTTTGTATCACCATGCTTATTGAGTTTCGCACTTCTACCCAACCATAGTGAAAGCCATCGGCTATGGCTCTTGGGCAGAACTTGTGTAATTTTCTGAAAAAATTGTCTCGCGAGTGTGGTGATGAGTCGTTGATGGCATTAAGCGAGCCCTTGACGTAGATTATCGTGTTTCCGTCATCGGTGGGAAACGCGTTGTCGGTAGAGGGGAAACGACAGCTCAGCTCTCCCTAGTCTTCCGAGATGGCTGGAGAAGCTATTGTAGCTATTCCCTGGCAACGTTAGCGGTGTGAAAGTATATCTTGTAAATGCCCATTGGTACTGACTCAATGTCTTTTTGAATCCCAAAATCTTCGGTGTATCCAACGTTCTTAATGGCCACAGGTTTTTCCAGCCGGCGATCGAAATGTATCGTTTGCAAGTTGACGACTGGAGGGAAGCTGCAGTGGAATGATGGATAGAACAGACAGTTAGTGTAGTGATGGCTTGACTACTTATAACATTGTAGACGTCTGCGTTGGCTCTTCAGCTCTTCGCATTAGATTATCACCAGAGCCGCCCTTCCTGAGATATACATTGTGCTGCTCCATGTTGCGATTGCGACCAGCTTGGGGCTATTGTAGCTTTGCGAGATTCGTTTGTCTTGCTGACAGCGAGAAGAAGTGGTTAGGTTGTTTGATTTCGTTGAGTTGTTTGAAGCGTGGAATCCATTTTCGAGGATTATCGCTGCCTTTTATAGCCCGACGGATCGATGCAACAGCCTTTCTGCATTAGTCGAGTCATTGAACTATAATTCGAAGTTTGTTGCGTTGAGTTTGTTTGAACTTTGTTGTTCGGGCCTTTTTTCGCATGTATTTTGAGTTTGGTCTTGAACCTCGATAAGCGGTTATGCTTTCTGTGCTTCTGCCAGTTGTATGGCCTGAATCTCCAAGGTTTAGTTTGATCGGCTATTGCCGATTAGATTAAGCTATGGATTGATTCTAGATTTTGAACCAAAGGCTGGGGCATAGCCTTTTATTGGACCAGCTGTTACAGCATTGAACCTCTCATCTTGATATTAAATTTAACCTCCATACATTGTGCTGCTAGAGAGTGACGTCCCTGGGCCCATTGCTGGCCTTGCGGAGAAAAATGTCGGCCAGGTTCGTATTCTGTAAGACGACGGATATGGAAACGGAGGAGATTGGCCTCCGCGTTATGGTCCCTATTGGATTGAAGGATGAAGTCAGCAGTGAGAATCCAGGCTTTGGCATCAGTCATACCCATAAGTCCATTTGTCCTCACAATTTTGGAAGAATAGCAGAATGGAAAGAGTGCGTAGTGTACTTGGTAGGCTTGTTGGCTGTAGTCTCCGTTGCACTGCTCTGACCTTGCTTATCTATCGTTGACTCGGACGTCTTGATGATACACTTGAGAGGAAGTGAGGGGGGGCACTGTGAGAGTGTCCGGTCACCCTTCAACTAACAGTTGCCCAAAAATCGGTATCAGTCACCAGAGAGAATTGAATGAGAATAGATCCCTTCTTCAAGCATGACTTACTCGCCGTTGTGATTGTTCAAGAATATAGCCATACAGCCCAGATGAATGTGAGCCGAGCGAGTCGAGCGATCAGTCCGTTGACGATCCGTTGACAGTCTCAACGTCTCACCCATGGTCTCTACAGAAGATGTAGTCGAGGTGTAGTGGAAGACGCAGGTGTTGTTGAAGGCTCTGTGTGTGAGGAGCTGCAGCTTTTCAGTTTGCTCAAGGCTGTTGGCAAGCGAGCTCTCCAGAAGTCTCGCCTTATCCCCTGCAGACCTCCTCTAAAGGCGCCGGCCAAGACTGGAAGGAACAGTGGTGGTCTCGCCACTGGCGCCGGCAAACCGCGTGTGTGAATGAGACATAAGAGGGACGAAGTTGCGTGGCCGGCGATAAAACTGGGCGCTCCCGCGAGTAGATCTTACGGAGGAGGCAATCGTTGCACTCCCACGGCGGGGTTTGCAGAATAACGAACGACCCATGGCGACGTTGTCTGGTGTGTGAGGCGTATGATCCTGCCTGGCAGAGTTCCTGGGGTCCATCTCAATTGCGAAGCCAGAAGTTCCTGTAGATACCTAAGTTGTGATGCTTCGACAGGTGGTCTTGGCTGCGCCCCGGAACAGAAGACAATCAGTTGTGCCCTAGAACACGCACGGCATGGGAAAGGTGCAATGGAAGTAGGGAACATTAGGCCACCCAGGCAGATCACCCAGCCTCCCAGCAACACCTAAAGGAAAGTAGCCCGCAGTAGTAGAAAGCGCTGTGGGGTGATTTACTAGGTGGCACCACCTGTAACGTTCTGGCACCGCGCCGTAATTTCACCCCCTGCCGGCACCGCAAATTATTTGAGTACGGTGCCAAATTTTGGTACGGTGCCTGCATGGTGCCATAAGGTGCCAGTACGGTGCCGGCATAGTGCCGGCATGGTTCCAACGGGTGCCATAGAAGTTACAGGAGGTGCCAGTAGGTAGCAGCTAGCGCTAGAATAGTGCCCAGTCCCGCAATTTAGGTACATACGAATCGGTTTAATGCATACGAGAGACATTGATGCCTGTACTTAATTCGTCTACAAAAGCTGTGTAGGGAGTTTTGCCCAATTCTCGCAAATGCGTCAGTTGTCCACAATAGCTACTGTGCCCGCCGTTTCAAGTTCCAGCGTTAAGTTCTCTGTGTGTCGTTTTCACTGCCTTAAAGTTAAGCTGCGTAACTAATTAATACCATCCGACTCCATTGGCGTAAAGGTCCTTGTGCGTAAGTGTGTAGTAATGACCTATGTCAAGCTAGCGAAGACACATCAAGATGCATCTGTTCGTGTGTTAGTAAATGACAAGAAGAAAAAAAGAAAAAGAAGCAACGGGAATGCGTCACTCAATTTACCTATAAGTCGGTATTAATTCCATCAACAAATTGATGTGCCAGACTGCCTGCTCTACGATCCTTTTTCACACGCAAGCCCGTAAGCTGAGTACGACGCGACGATGTGGGGTGAGAAAAACAATGTCAGGTTTGCACTCACCAGACACCACCATCGCAATGTAATGTCCTGTCATCGCAGTGTTAGTATCAATATGATGGTGTGTATCTGCTGATTGCGTACCGTCTCTGGTATTATATATTCATACAATCTCTGAACCCGTCCTGTGATAAGGTTACTACCACTGCGGCATCGTCTATCAGTCGACTGCTTACCTTGTGTGTTACTAAACACTATCACATAGACCCTCGTCCCGTTATCAAGGTGTTACTGCTAATATCAGGGTATAGACGCGCTAATGTGAACTCCCTACCGGTTGGCTCAGAGGAACTTGGGGTTCCATGAGACCCAGATCTGACGAGAGGTGTTGCCGGGCTCTGCGCGATCGTCGATAATGTACTGTCCACTCGTAGCATCAACAGATGGGACGCCAATGATGTATGGCTGGTCGTGGTCGATATATGGCAGGGACAGGAGTTCATGCAACCGATTAGACGGCGTAGCACCCATAACTACAATAAATATACGACGAAGGCCGTCCTGCTCGTGGGTGAAGATACCGTCAACCCTCCCAACGTGGCGATGACCTTCGAACTCAATATAGTCGCCAAGCTTAAACACATATCGACGATGCTGCCTATAGGACAGTCAGTCTATTAGGTAGACGAGAGTTTATAGCCACTTACTTATTAGTAAACCCAAATTTCTTATACCAAAATAACGAACGAGCCTGGCTAAGGCTGACATCGTGGATATCATAGTCGCCAGCATATGCACCCAGTAGCAATGCTCTAAAGCTATCCGTTATTTCGTTATAAATAGAAGGGAGTCTCATGTTATTATTGGCAGCATGATCGCCGAGGGAGTTTACTTGATGGATTCTACCAGTGGCCGTAATTCCAGAATAGCTGTTTGTGTCGCCAACAACTTCCTGATGACCAAAGTCAGACTCATCAAGAGCCACTCGTTCGTCAGATCGAGACATGATGCGCTCAAATAGAGTCGGACAAGCCCTCCAGAGACGGCGTATCTGGGCCGAGAGTTGGGGATATGTTGTATTATATGCGCCGAGTATAAAGAGCCGACAAACTAGCTGGAGATTGACTTTGCCTAAGAGGACTCGTTCTGTATCCTTAAGGTTGGTCTTATAGACGACGTTCTTGAACCACCTAATGAATACGTTAGTCTTGGGATGCGATACTACAAAGTAAGGTCTCTATGGTATACTTGTGCTCTGCTTCACCCACGAGAGTGTCGATGTTCGACAGTCCTGCATATTCTTCAAAGAAATATACAAGGTGGTTACCAACGTGGACGTTGGGCCGTAGAGCATCAGCCAACCACGTCGATTTCTCGTCGTTGTCTCTCGAGACATGTCGTCCACGCCTGTGGCGCGCTGGGGCCGCTGGAGCCGGCGCTGCTGGCGCCTCACGGATCAATGCATCGCGAAGTAAGATTTCGAACTCGCTAGTCTCTCCGCCTCGCTCTTCTTGTTCACGGACCCTTCTTTGAAGAACGCGGGTTAAGTGAGACGCGTTCGAGACTGTGGATGCTGCCGAACTTGCCTGTGAATCCTGTGAGTTGCGTCGCTCGTGGTTCCATGCAAGTTCCCAAGAGGCCCAGACACACATCCGCTGATAATCAGCTCGAGCACTAAGGACAATCATCAACGCATTCTCGGCGTAGCTGTCCCGAAATCGAGCATTGTTGCCCATGAGATAATCATTACTTCTTGCAAGTCTTGCAAAGGCACGAACAATCCAGTCAATTAGCTCAAGGCCATCGAGCTCGGGGCGTTCAACAGCTGCGTTCCAAAAGGACGGATTAATCGCGTTCTTGGTTAGCCAGGCATTTAACAGTCCTGGAATGATAACTGACCAACGGGCGTGATCAGAAAGACTGTAGCTGCTGAGATAATGCACTGGAGATTGTAATCGATTCCAACCTGAAGGGAATTTCCAAGCCCGCAGCATTCTGCTATACTCTTTCACAGCCTCTGGACGAAGGATGGCCTTAATTAGCAGAGCATGAAAGAGGTTACTCATACCATTATACTCTGAATGTGCAGCATCTGGTACACGCGTCCAGATTGGATCCAAGGCCGGTGCAATCTTCTCAAGGTTCGATGGCTTTGTGGTTAGGCCCCATTGGGAAAAATATTCCCTTTTTCTTTGTGATGGCAATGAGCTGGCATAATGCCGCATCTTAGAGATTTGATGGCTGTAGCGGCCGTGCTTATCACAGTCAAAGTCAAGTATAGCGCAAGGGTCCATCTCATTAAATGCATCAACAATAGTTTTCTTGCCAATAAAACAAAAGCGGCAAAATTTCCCGGCTGTTGGCCCGAGGCATCCTGCGTTCTGGTTCTGTTGGAGCATGTCGCCGATAAAGCAGAGGGTAAAGACGCAGACAATGGTGGGCGCGCCGTGGATATCAAGCTCAACGCCTTTGTCAAGAGGAATAAAGCATCGAAGCGCGTCGATGGCTTCTTCAAATACTGAGCCGTGTGGACTGAGAAGGATAGGCAATGTATTTGCTCGACGGCGGCGCTCAGCTGCACATAGGCCTGCGAGGGTCATGTACATTCCGACAAGAGTGCGGTATGAGTTGCGAAATAAGCCGAACCCATCAATAAATGTTGTACAAGGCAGTGCAATGGGGAAGGGACCTTGGTTGTTCGGTGCAAGGCGATCCCAGCGAGTTTCAAACCAGGATCGACCATACACCTGCAGTTCTAATTCAGCGCGAATGGTAGGCTGGTTGCAGTACCAATCGACGGTGCCTAGTTGAGTACTGACGCGGCGCACAATCCATTCGTCATCTGGATGTCTGGCTCTATGGCCGTTAGGTGAGTGTTTGGGGTGGGGATCGGAGCCACGGCTCTTTTTGAAGAAGGAGGGATCTTCAAGACCGTCATCCTCAGGCTCGCGGTCAATTGTAACGCGGCAAAAGTCGATGGCTGCGGTTTGGCTCAAGCAGTAAAATCCTCCTAGATTCAGGACCAGCTCATCAGGCTCAGGGCTAACTTCATCAACAAGCTCAGAAAGTCGAGGGTTATTTGGACGCCAGGCCTCTTGAATAAGTAACGTCACCTCGCCAAGTTTGACTAGGGGATGTCTGTCCGTCTGATAGCATTTGCCGAATCCAACGACCCGACCAATGTGAGCCACTGCCTTGATTTCCTCCACTGTTGGATCAGGCTGGTCGATGTCGGGAGTGTCGAGAGACGTGCACTGGCAATCCGGGCTGTCGCAGGAAAAATAAATCCAATCAGATGGAAAGATTGCATCGCCGACTTCGCCATCAGCTGCAATAAAATGGGCGTAGTGGCCTGAACTTGTACGGATAGAGCTGGCCCAGGCACGAGAATGATAAAACTCGCTTGGTTCATCGACGAAGTGAGCCATGTCAAGGTGCAGCTGTTGTGGGAGCTGCGATTCAAGTATTTTTTTAAACAGATCAACTGGATCAAAGAAGTGCATCTTCGCAGTCTGTACATCGAGAGCAACATTGCCCTTGTCTGAAGGAGCCATTGTTGGCATCTTATCGACTTTAAGTGAAACATCCACTGATCGCATGTCTAATAATGGCATTGCCTTTGTCACTTGGTTTTTGAGCGTCGCAAGTGCAAGTGGCAGTCTGTTTAGAGCAGCCCGTTCCCTTTCAGTCACAGAAGGTATTTGCAGGATTTCTCGCATCATACTCCAATCCCGATTGCTGACGCCAGAAATGTGTGCCATTAGGCCCAGGGCGAGCTCGAAGTCTGATAGGACAATATCAGGTCTGGGCGTGTGGCGAACAAGCACTGACTGATCCTCCAATGCCCAGGCTGAGGGTCGTTGGGGGGTTGGCATTCCCTCATGTGCCGTGTCTGGGTGTATAATCTCATCCTCTGAATCTATACTGAACGTGTCGTCCTCATCAAACCCAAGATCGTTGTACTCAGCCGCATTTCGAAACTCAGCCTCATCAAAGCCCGGAGGCAGAAGCGTCTGGTCAAGATGGAGGATGCCACGATCAGCAGCATCAATATCTAATCGTGCAACAGCATCTTCGACCTCCTCATCTCGCTCTTCACTCTCTGAGGCATTGTCGCCTTCGAAGACGTCTGTCATGAGAGTGTCTCCAGGGGGGTAGGGTGCCTGGATCTCTTTGGGATAAACACTCGCATATGATTCGCGCGTGAGCTGAAGTCGAGCCGCTTTTTCGTGGGTACTCGCCAGTCTCAAGGCAGGCAATGACTTCAATCTCGGCCGGCGGTCCGCCATTATCACGATCAGCCACGCTTAACGGGCTATCGACACTGTGAGGCTGTTGAGTTAGATCATGACCCCGCTGCTGGCTACAGTGTGCCAGCCTAGAAGGAGACGCACGCAACATACCAGATGAAGTTTCGACTGTGGCCACCAGAGCATAAAGCTTCAACTCGAAAGAATCAATAGAGATTGGTTGGTATTGAAATCTTGAAGATGGCTCGATGGCGTGTGCAGAGCCAAGGATGAGGTTGAGAGGGAAATGAAGGAAACCTGAAATATGCGGCTGCAATTTTTTTTTTTTTTTTTTTTTTTCTGTGGCATAAGGAGAAAGGAGTGAATTGAGCCTGCACCTGCCTCCGGAGCTGGGCGTGCGGACATCTCGGTGGCTCGAATTCCCTAATCGGGTAATTCCTTACAGCTGTCAAACGGCCGACTTAGACTGAGCATTGGGAAGCAAACAAACACACATCACAGCGTGAATTCATCCCATCTATTGACAAGAAAAAAATTTTCATGGTGATTCACTGCCATTAGGGCTCTAGGGTCTGAGCACACTGCGTAAAATCGAAGGTTGACTCCCAGAGTTTTATTTTGGTTTATCTTTCCCGTAAACTTCACAAACTCCATCACGAACCTTACCCTAGCCCCCCCTTCACCAATCTTTATCCTTTACCCCGTACTCGTTTTCTCTTTTTCTTGTTCCCTAAACCCATCTTAAGCCCATATTCATTGGTATACGATTATGGGCGGCCGCAGCGTCCGTAAGCGGAACACCAAGGGTGAGCCTAAAGAGCCATCAGGCGAGACTGGAGGTTCCAGTCAAAACCGATCTCCTACTGGGCCACCCAGGCAGACAGCGGTTCCGTTGCCTCCTCAGACTCTCAGACGTACTGCCGGGGATGTAAGCACTTCGACATTGGCGACAGCGGATGCTCAATTGCCGCATCATCCAGCGGCTAGAACTGCTAGCAATATCATTCCGACAGCTAGTGCGATTCCCACTCCTGCTGCCACTGGATCGACGAGAACGTACTCGTCGCGTTCCACAACGATAACGCCTGTCACACCTCCGGTGTATAACAGACCTCCTGGGACACGCCAACGGACGACCGGACCATCGCCTCTTGGTGAAAGCGCGTCTGTCCCGCAGAATATTTTGCAATCCACCACGACCCGAGATGAAAGCCCACGGCAATCGTTGTCTCCCGTGAGTACCAGAATACCAGCATCTTCCCATTCCATTTTCAGTCGCTAATGTAGTACAATGACAGGGGCAAACTCGAGTCACTCCATCCAACTCTGGCAATAGCCTTCATCGCCAGGCCATCTCTGGTGCCGCTTCTGTAAACCAGGGCAGCCCCGGTAGCCCATTTGTTGGAAGTCAGGAGTTAGCTCCAGAAGCTTTCTGGGAGCCCACTAGAGACAACCTCATCCGTCTTCAAGACCATCCTCTGCCTGCATTCAAATGGGATGCAAAAAATCAGCGCTGTGTGCTTATCGACGAGAACTATGACTCAAGTCTCGAGACTAATGTCTCAGAGCCTCACGCAGAGGTGGATCTTCCAACTAACGCTTCTCGAGAGGAAAGCCGAAGGATCAAGTATTACACCGCTCTCATGCTGTTTCTTTGGCATACTCCTCGATTCGCTGGCTTCTATGCGCGCCTGGTCAACCCAAATCTCCCGACAAATAGAGAGAGGTTTATCCAGATTATCACTACAATGAAAGACAAATTCAAAACTGAGAAGTCTCACTTCCTTTGGCGCCAAGCCTATGTAAGTTTCCCACTCCCATAGTCCTATAGAACACATCTCATCAGTATCCTAGGGTTTTGTGAGAAAGGCGGCAGAGAAGGATCTACAGCTACTAGAGCTCTTGGATGATCCGAATAGACTACAGGCTCTTCAGAGTCAAGTCTTGGCTTTATTGAACGAGGAGTCTTTTAGAGAGGTGTTCCACCATGCCCGTTCCATTATTGACTTTCGCCGCACAAAGGAGCGGGATGGGCACGGTATCTACTTCATCAAGACAATCTGGCTGAACTTAATCACGTTCCTCCTCCGAGTTTGGGCGTCGGAGAAGAGAATGAATCTACTACCAGAGCCGGACCAGGGAGGACAGAATCAATATCGCGCTGATTTCAACTCCAGGCATTGGCTGCGGGATTCCACTCTCCGCGACCGAGTGAAGCAACGGTTTGTAGCATGGGGATTGCTTGAAGAGCTCCGTTATGCAAACGAGGACTCATTTGCCAAACTCGCGCAAGACATTGTACCCCCCTCGTCATCTGCACGCATCGATGTCTCGTCGGCTCGACGCGACTTATTGCTGGTGAGTTTTTTTTTTCCCTTCCTTTCCCGTTTGCCCTCGCCCGATGATGCCAAGTCCTCTATATTCTATTGTCGTAACCGATACTAAACCTTTCATAGCCTGGACCGCCGCCACCGCCTCCGAATGGTCAGGATAGACAACGAAGCCCCTCCAACCCATTCGGTGGTGATGCAGTCTTTGACGATTCCCCGATCCCATTCCCATACACGCCTCGTCGTGCTCTTCGACCGCGACTGGACGCCTCTATTTTCGCCCCTCTTGACCAGATAATCAATGAAATTGGTGTGGAGTCAAACTTGGCCATGGATGCAGACGACGTAGACACAGGCGACAGGTTTGAGCGTACGCTACCCGACGCTCAATAAGTTCCAGTCGTCTTCGACTGCTTATTTCCCTTCAAGGGGATACAGATCGACTTTCCTTACCCTTTTCCCTTCGGTTGATCTCTTTTGTCTGGCATGTTAGAGTATACCCATCGAGTCGCAAAGTTCGGCATTTCTTTTCAAGTTCTACATTCGCATTCGCACTAATAGGTCTCGTCGCGTCTGCACCAATGGCCATTGCTGCCCCAGTTTTTTTTCTTTTTCTTTTTTTTTTTTTCACTCAATCGGCGTGTTAGAGTAGATACCCATCGGTTACGGCTTCGTCGCATTTGCATCTCTGGCAGAGAGTTCAAGGTTTGAGGGTTGGGTGATGATGGATGCTGTCCTGGGCGAGTAAACTTCACGTTTACCAATCAAGGTCCGAACACGCGCTTTATGGCACATCCTGCCGGCACCACAAGAGATGCAATTTTCGTTCGGTTTTATGTATCTCAAAATAAAAGCAATCAATGATTTCTAATCACTCATTCAACATGCTCCGTTTTAGCCGGCATACGCGATCGTCGCAATAAATGTAGATATTGATTGTGGTGAGACAGCGGCCTGGCATAACGCAGTTACACCCTGGAGCACGCTGTTGGACCCCCTATAGCGTATTGTCACTCCCTGAAACCCGGGGGCACTGCGCTGGCACCAGCGAGGCACCTCTGGCACCTGGGCACCTACTTGGCACCTATTTGGCACCTCGCCTGGCACCTGTTGGCACCTGTTGGCACCTGTTGGCACTCTTCTGGCACCTGACTACTGTGCGGGCACCGTGCCAGCACCTACGGCACCCCGCCGGCACCAATGTGGCGGTGCCACTACGGTGCCACCACGGTGCCACCCACCACCGTTTTCTACTACTGCCGACTAATCCCGCATATAAGAAGATAAAACTCACCCCTTCAACATCAAATAGCAACAGTGCGAGTTTGGCCGAGTGGTCTAAGGCGCCGTGTTTAGGAAGGAACTCCTGATCCGCGGTGGGCATGCCCGCGCAGGTTCGAACCCTGCAGCTCGCAGAATTCTCTTTTTGGTGCTTCCCTCAGCCAGATTCGCTGATGTTTGCGGATCGAGGTACGGAGCATCAATCCTTTTTTTTTAACAAACTACCTTGGTAAATAGGTACTGGGTTAAGGCGCTGTGTTTAGGAAGGATCTACCGAACCGCAGTGGGCATGCCCGCGCAGGTTCGAACCCTGCAGCTCGCAGAATTCTTTTTTTGCTGTTTTTCCCTCAGTCAGATTTCTTGGTGTTTGTGGAGCGAGTATACTTTTGTTTTTCGAAATTACTTAGTCAGCTTTACCGTCACGTGTTCACATTGATGTAAAGAACACGCCCTTGCTTTATTGCGAACGTATTGTTGGCTAAACTCGCTGTATATTGTTTGACAGAGTGAGCATTATCCAGTTCTGCGGAGGAGCAGCATATCCATAATTGGAAAGACCCTTGTCTCCAATTCTGTGGTACCGAGCTGATAAGATAGTCGTTGCTCCACATATATCCCATGGATGCCCCACATATGAAATCACCCGTACTTACTCCGACAGACAGCAAATTCCAGCTATTACGCAGCAGCGCCCACATACTTTCGCAGCAGAGGGCAGCAATGCAACCTTGGCGGAATTTTTTTCTCTTTCGATTTTCTTTCCTGAAGCTGTATGATGGTATGATTATTTGTTTCTGGCGGCAAGGTTTACGCACGCAGGTTTCTGGTTAATAAATACTTCTTTTCTCGGCGCCTGAGCTATAAAAAGTCAGTGAAGCAGCGCAAAAGTTCGCTTGCGCCGTCGCGGCCTCTTTCTGCGATTGGATTACCCGGCATCTGAGGCTCTATTCACCTCTTCCTTTGGACGGCACATCCCATACAAGAAAAGCATGGCTTTTGACGACGAAGACAGTCCGCTGGTAGTAGGACCAGCACCTGCGGATGGTGAGGGCGGCGCCCCAACTGTGGAGGAAACTCTGGAGGATGACATGCCCGACTACAAGCTATTTGCAGCCGCATTTTCTAAAAAGGGTGTCTCCAGCCAGACTATCCGAAAGGGCGAAAAGGACTTTGAGACGCACGGAACCAAAGCTCAAGATGGTGCGCTGGAGTCAAGTCGCAGGGCTCTGGAGGATGTTTTGAGCTACACAAGGATACATCGAGGTGATGCGTGGGCTAGAGGCTGGTGCTTCCCAGACTTTTGGATGGATGAGACAAACGTCGCCGTCGATCATGAGGGCATGTGGCTTAAGGACCGCGTGGTGGTTATGGAGCACGAGAAGGGAGGCTGGATGAAGGACATAGGAAGAGTAGCCTCTGGGAGCAAAGATCAGCTCGGCGTGGGAAGATTGTGGCTACTACCCGAGGAAGCCCTCTATCTTGTCGAGAGAGGCACTATTGACCTATGGTGGCCATATACCGACTTCGAGACTCTCCTACCGAAGGGAAGCACTACTGGTGGACCGCCTCGGCCAGGCTTTGGTCCAGACGATTACGACGTGGGCCTGCCGCTGAGTCTCGAAGCAGCGTACTCGCTTTTTATCGGCTACGAAGATGAGCAGGGCAAGACAACGCTGCCCAAGTATCAGGTCTACGCACATCTAAAGCGAGCAGGGTTCAACATCCTCCGGGCGCCACCTGAACAGCCTAGACTAGAACCGACGAAGCCTTCGCAGACGCTGTGGCAATGGCTCTTTTCCTTTGTCAAATGGGAAGCTGGGCAGGACGGGAAACATAGGCAGCAGCCCTTTGGCCCGCTTGTCGCCCCGGGACTGTACCGTGCCTATCGACCTATATACCAGCAACTTGCCCTCGTACCTCGCCACAAGCCTCTTCCTGTGCCACCGAACCCATCCAAGCCAGAGGATCCCTTCCGGGTGCATTTCCACGTATGGAAACCGGGCGCAGGTGGGTTTTCCAAGAAGAATCCTCCGCCCCCAGATTTCCGAATTGCCGTGGCCGACACAGCCGACTCGTGTCTCCCAACACTGGAGCAAATCGACGCTCTGCTAGAATCGACGCCGTATGATCCCGCGCCCGAGGCATGGCGAGGAAATCCAGGAAGGCTATACCAGCGGCTGAAGCATGGGCATAGAAACGTGCTTGTGGCTGTGGTGGACAGAGGATTGGTCAACTTTATGAGATTTGGAGAGGGTGCATTTGGGGAGGAAAAGCTGTTTGAAAGGTTCGATAATAGAAACAGTGGCAGAGGTGGTAAGAAAGGCGGTCGCGGAGGTGGTCGCGGTCGCGGAAGAGGGAGAGGTCGGGGGAGAGGTGGGCGGTGATGAAACGGTTAATTATCCGGTTGGCGGAACATTGGGAGTTATGAGAGTTTCACAACTACGGATCTCGACATGATTTTTTTCGGAGGAAAATCCAGACTACCTATATCTACTTGCCATGATGTTACGGCGGTGGTTTTGCGTTCCGCGACTACTCAACTCTTGGGCCTGATTTGCAGGCTTTTCTTTTCTTCTTCTTTTTTTTCCCGGTACGCTGGAACGCAACAGCATTCTTACGAGAGCAATGGGGGTTATGAATATCTATGTTCACAAGCAACGGAGCTATGAGTGGGGAGGGTTGAGAGCTGGGCCATTAGCGATGATACACGTCTTTGAGTTCCCACGATTCAGACACAAACCTGTTAGGATATATTGCAGGGGGTCGACTGTTATTAGCCCAGGATGTTTGTTCTATTTGCGCATGGATGAGTCTATCAGTGCCACGAAATGGCGTTCCACAAAGTGCGAGTCATGGGCTACTTACAGAGCAATCAGACGGTCAAGGGCAGCCAGTCATATTCCGGATCCGGCAATTAGCATTACATTTGGCGGGCTAAGTCTTGTTGCTTCGAAGGAGCGGGCACAGTGTTGATTACGGCGCCAATATGCTTGTTTGCACTCTGGGATGAACGGGATGGATCCTGCATTTGCCAAACTGGGCAATAAAAGGCGACAAGTCTGTGTATCTCTGTCGACAACTACCCAGTATTGGAGCTGCAACTTGTTTCCGAAACCTCGGCCTTCGGCTGATTCCACGTCCACCCTTATCGCCGAAATAGTCGCAACACCCAAGCAGCGCAAGTCAGTTGGTTCAGAATCCGGAAGTATTTGCGACAGATACGAGTTAGATAACCTAGCACTTTCAACTCGCTCTCGTTCTATTTAGCGTTGGCTACAGTAATGATTACATCCAGATGACACATACAAGACAATCAATAGCACACACGCCCCTGCAATTGCCCAAAGCGGGAAGGGATATAGTTGGAATTGCGAAGCCCCGTAGGAGAATAGAATAGACAAGAAAAAAAGATTACACACACCCCCCTCTCTTTGGAAACAAAAGGGCGTGAGACGACCGAAAAAATGAAAAGGCGGAGAGATCCACACGTCAGATTGCCGGCCCTGCATGCACTGATTGACTGACTTGAGCAAAGCGAAGCGCTTGCTTGATTTGGGGTGCTGACAATGAAGCAGAGTAATATAATTGCTGGGCAAAGGCTCGGGTTGGCTAGATGGCGTTTTGAATTCAAGGGGAAGATTTTACAGGTGGGTTGCAGGTTGAACGAAATGTCCGCGTCTATGGATTACAAATTACGTGTGTAGATCCGTGCGACGTAGCATGAGACATGAGAAAGCCGATGATTAATCCGCGAAATGCGAGATAATATTGTATTAGACACTATTACTGAGGATTAGTTGTCGAAAAGACAGTATGGATAGTAATATAGGTAACCGAAATGCGATATTACTATCGCGCACGCTACTCGCGGTAATGCATGGAAGATGCAATGAGAATAGGAGATCTGACCCCGTGGTCAGGCTGCATTCCCGATCTCCAAAAGAGAGAGAAAGGACCGATAAACAGCCAGGAAAAAAAGAGAGAGATACGAAGTAAACGAAGAAGGGTTTTGAAAAAAAGTCAATCAAAATGGTCCGGAGTTACCCGGAAATATGCTATCCATCCACAAAATTCTCATATCATCAACTCTTTGCTGCCGTAAGCACGACGGTGACAACCTTTGGGGGGGATGAACGGCGGTTTCAAGGGAGCAGCGATTAGAAAAGAGAGAGAAAGAAAGACTAAGAAAGAGAGATATTAACCCATTTTGATTTTTCTGACATTCCCAAACTTTGGGAAATTTTGGCCAGCTGACCGGGTCTATGATCAAAGGGCCATGCATTAATCTTGGCATTATTTTGTCCTCTTTTGTTATAAATCTCCGCTTTCACAGGGCACGAACTTTGCCGAGCGGCCGCATTGACATGCCAGGTGTGAGTTTATATCGGGGAGATTCCAAAAATAAGAAGGACAAACAACAATAGTAGTTTTTGCTTGGTGAGATTGAGCAAAAAGAGAGGGAACGCATAGCCAAGGGAACTCATCCCACAACTCTCCAAGAAGGAATGTCACCATCCCCTCTTTTTGAAACATATAGACAGGGTCTCTGTGGCTTTCGTACTGTGTCTTGAGGGGTTTAGGATCCTGTAGATCCCATGTGTCAACCACTCATTCAATTCTCGCAACTCTCGATGCGACGCCGTCTCAATGGCGTCTGTCTACGTGTAATATTAATCTTGTCCCGTGTGGCTTGGTGCCGTGCGGCGTTGACCAGCCATTCACGCAACACCAGCTGTCCGACCTCCTCTCTGTGGGCTGCATATAGCAGAGTCCAGCGTCCAATAGTTGTGGCTTTTAATATCGGTTGTGCAAACGAGAACGAGACACATTACGTGCGCAACGCACATGCACACATGCGCATACGCACATATGCACTGTACGAGTTGCATACTCTATTGAGTCGCTGTTTCGCCAGCCTCCCCTACTCCCTAGTTCACCTTTTGTTTCTTACCCGCCTCGGCGCATTTTGGGTTCTCACAGCGAATCGCAAAAAGTTGCCCGAACATTGGAGTCCAGGGCCAAGAGCAAGAGAAACACCATGGCATGTAAGAGAGCGTCAACTTGTGCTAGCAGGGTGCAGAGTTACAGAGCAAAGGACGTGCCCCAATAGTCTACGAAAAGAAAGCATCGAAAGCAACAAGGAGCGGCTATAACCCTGGTACAGATGTTGTTACTTATCATGCGGTACCCGGCAGCGAAGGACGCCCTTTTTACAAAGTCCCTACGGAGTACAGTACGGGTAATAGTGTTAACTGCCTAGTAGTAGTAGGGGTAAGTGGGCAAGTTTGTCCCCCCATTAACACGGCGGCTTTAGCATTTGCCGTACATAGTAGGCACATGTAAGGGTACAGTAGGCGAGCTTGCCGATGGCATTTTGCTCCGATGGGCAATTGCGGGAAAAGGAAAAAAAAAAGAATCAAATAAATAATGATGACTTAATCAAAAGGAAGAAGTGAGTAACCCTGATGGAATCATTCGGCGGCGCCGGAAGAATTCGTCTTTCTGCACCCCCCCTTGGAGGTTTTCTGTTGGTTCATCCAAAAAGGAAAAATGTACGAAGCAAAGGCAAAAGCAATGTATCCGGATCCCCCTTCCCTTTCCCCGCCTCGAGCAAAAAAGCTGAAGACTATTGGTGGGTCTAGCGGTGTTTTTTTCTATTCGTCTCTTTTGTTTCCTGTTGCTCTGATAATTCCGCAAGGAGATGTTTTTTTTTTTTGTCAAGCAAGGTAAAAGGTCTACACACAACATGGACTGGGGCCCTCTGGCTGCCTCGTATGAGTTTAGCTGTGCTAGTGCTGCATTTGGAATTTTATTTGCTTAAATTAATTACTCTATTTACGACTTAGTTGTTCCAGCCCATTCCCAAACACCCCGTTTTTCTCGCTCTCGGTGGGCTAATTTGCGCTAATGCAGATGGGCGATATACTACATCAATTGCCCAAATCGGTATAATGACGGGCATTTCGCAAAGTATAATGTACTTTGCATCAGACGATTTTCGTCTCGACTCAAGCCCGCAAGATTCCCGACAGGATCGAGCGCATAGGCTAATAAATCAGTCCGCTAGGCTATTCGCCCAGTTGCTGCCAAAAGCCTACCGGCACTCGTATACTTTGTACATGCAGATATACTGTGTTGTGCTCGCTTTGATGGTGGCCCCCATACCATAACTACTAGAGTACAACTCTGCCTACCTTAGTACGGCACTATCGTCTGCTGTTTGTTTAGGTACAAGACAGCCAAGTCCTCCCTACATATAGGTACCCTAGAGGCGCAGCATACATAAATATGAGGCCTTTTGCAGCACAAGCTGAGTGGCATGTCGGCGGCGCAATTACATGTAACCTGGCCTGATGGGCTCGCTTCATCAACTTCGTGTCGGCCCAACGCAGCCACGCAACAGACCCGGCGCATAAGAGGCGTACCACAAATCCAAACAATGTCTCGCCCTGTGATAAGCATCTCCGTAATTAGGTTGCACTAGTTAGCGGCACGGTCAGAGGTAAAGTTTAGCTGTAACCTGCACACGGGCCTCGCGGTTTCTTGCCCACCTGGTGCCCCCCCCGGCAGTCATCGAGACGTACAAGTACAAGGACGGCCATGCAAAACAAATCATCAAATGCTAAATAGTGCCAGTGCTAGTACTGCAGCCGGGGAGACAAGTGGTATGATGTAATATGACACAAAGAGCAGTACGAGTGTGAAGAGGCCAAGGCCCGGATCGCTTTGGCGCAGTTGCTCGCCTTCAGCCTCTGTGCGGGTTGTATTTGCCAGAGTGACTCAGCATGTCAAATCGTTTGCTTTTTTTGGGACGGCCTCAAGCAGGGCAAGTACAAATAAGCATTGACGGGCTGATGCATGGAAGCAAAACCCCCCAGCACTGAGGGTCTCCGAGCTGACGTCGAGGATCTGCTGGACGAGCTAGTACGACTCGGTGCAAATTCCCGTCATCAATAGTTGTTGTCCCCTTCGACTTTGCCTAGACGCAGGCCCATCACTAATTATCACTAATCACAAATCAACTTTGCGCATGGGTAAATAATTACTGTTAGCCCGTGCTAGTAGCCAGCTGTGGCCTCGTAGCGAGTCAACCTGGGACATGCTAAACAAGGCAATTGGATATGTAATTGCTTCAGCCGACAAGAGACGCACACACACACAAAAACCACCGTTTTACGGGGGTTGGCCTATCGCGTCAGCGCAGCAGCATGTGTTTGCGGCCACGGGATTGGACGCGGGCCCCGTTTGGCAACAAAACTCGATGCCATTCGCAGGCCCCAAAGTTCTCGACCACCTTGCCGGCCCCAAGTTTTCAATGCTTCTTGTCCGCTGTACTGTGTTCATATATGCAGCTCATTTTAAGCGATTATGATGGATGGTGACGAACAAGTGGACACGCAGCCGCAGGATCGAATCCTCCTTAATCCTCAAGCCAAGGCAACTAAAAAAGGCGGGAAAAAAGCGACGAGAGAAAGACCCAACCAACAGCCGAAAACTCGAAGCGGCTTAATTTGGGGACAAAAACAGGTTTCTCTCTCTTTTTTTCCCGTGCGTGTTTCTTTTGTCTCTTATTTATGTTTTTTTTTTTGTGTTTTTGACGGATTCGGCTATTGGTCTGCGTTAGCATCATTGCCAGAAAAGTAGGGGGTTCTAATGTGCCCTTTGGTAACAAAAACGGCCTGTGTTAACCGATGTAACCAATGAGAGACAAATAGCAACAGACGGCTAAGTTGACACGGCCGGTTAGGTTAGCTGGGTAGGCAGAGGAGGGAGAATGGCGAGTATGTAATAACATGGTGTGGCTTGTTTTTTGTGAGTTTTTTTTGCGTGTGTAAGGTGCTCGTTGTGCCTCTTTGTAATCGCTCGGTGTCGTATTGATTTAGACTCTGCAAGTATGGATTTTGGGTTGCTGACTGCGTGAGTTTGTGTGAGATGCCTGGCCTCCCTTGCTCTACTATGTACACCTACCGATGTGGGGAAAAAAAAGAGAAGCCCGAAAGGATTGGGGAAGAAAAAAGGAACGACTTGTTGATGAGCGCTTCCAATGAAAAGCAATGAATGACAATAGAGTTTTCATTGCAAAATGCTCTTCGAAACCAGAAACTCAGCGTCATCAGTGAATTACCTGTTCTAAACTTTACAACACGCCCCCCCCCCTGGTTCCAGCTCGCGGTGTTCTGGCGTTATAGGTCCTGTACTTGTAGTTTCCTAGTGGAGATCGCGTTTCCGGGGTCCGAGGCTCATTCCAACAAAGGGAGGTACTGGTAGCCTAGATGGGAAGAGAACCTGGAAAGTATATAATTTTTGTGACGTGTTGCTTTGTTTCATTTGTCTTGCCGCCTAGCAGGATTGGTGAAACGGTCGAGTTATGCAACATGACCGCTGGCAACTCTTCATTTTCATATTCTTGACTGTGAACAATTGACGGCCCCCCTATCTGCCGGCATCTGCCTCGTACTCCCTACCTATCAGAGCAAAGAGCCGGCTCTGATTAGTAACCTTTGGTAATCCGTCGTATATTCGTATGCGTATGCGGAACAATATGTTCCAACTTGGCGCAACTGAAAATCGAACGACGGTCTGCGCCCGTGCGCAACGCAGCTCGCGCAGGACCAACATGTGAACCCTGTGCGTATTTTCTCCAGAATGACAGTTGCGCCGTGTCGGGCGGGCACCGCCATTTGACTGGGTGCGGACTTTTCTTATGGTTTACTTTTATTTGGGGCCACAGGCAATTCTTTTGTCATATGTGATCCATAGCTGGTGCTTCGCCTACCTCGGGACCGGAGCTGCGTATACTAATCTGCGCTTCTAAAAAATAGCTGGAAGCAACTTGGAGCCCGTAACGGTTGGTTGAAGGGAGACAGAGTGAGGCGGAGGCTCCCCAGTAGTGAGTAATACGACATTGATTTTTTTTAGAACCTCATTTCCCTGTCTTGCCGCCATGGTCTGGGCCAAATGCATCTGCAATGCCAAGCAGCTTCTCCTGTATAGTTACAACCCAAAAGTGCCTAGAGCCTCTAGGCGCAGTTTGAAGCCGCCGGTTGGTGTTATTCCGCGTTAATTGATTTGATCCTTCTGAACCACTGTTATCTCCTAGTCTGAGGCGTATTACAGGTGGCGGTTTGAGCCGAACGGGTGCGTGTAAGGAGCGCCAAATATACACGTGCGTATTCAGCAGAATGGAGGATAATATTCCCCGTTGATGCTGAATCTGACGATGACAAACTATTACCGTAGATATGTCTATTGTGGGAACATGTGACGAGGCTGCGCTGGTTCTAGTTCTTGGCCAGCAGCCAATCAGCCCCCCTAAAGCAGCATCTCGATTCACTCGCCAGGCCACAGAGCGAGGGTGCGGCAATATTATGTCAAGAATTCATGACCTGCTCTCGGCGCTTCGTATCTGTAGTAGCCTGAGACGCTCATACGACGGTGATTGGTGCCTTGCCGCATGCTATAGGATGCCGTTATGCCTAGCTCGTGCATATTCTGTAATGCATCATTACCAAGGAGGGGGATGGATACATGATGTACTTGGCAATAGGTACCTTATAGGATTGCGGAACAAGGCGGCAAACAAGTACCGCTACCATTACGCGGCCCAGGAATGGATGAATGGCTGTCAAGTATTTGCGTGTTGCTTGTCTCTGAGTCCTGGCCTTGTCTCAGAGTCTCTCAGTTCGATCGCCCCGAGTCAAGCCAATATATCATGCGCCATCCCTTGAGAAGGAACTAAGACAAAGACTGTGTCTCTGTCTCATTCATTCATTACCCGTTACGACAGCTTTCGCACCCCTGCACCGCCTCCACTTAAAGTCTAGGGGACCCGTCCAAAGTAGCTCAACTTGTCGCAACTTGTTCGTCCATCACAATCACACCCCCCCTCCCTCTCGCTGTCCACCGGTTTCCTCGTTGTCGCTCAATGTTCAAACGGATCGGGGCTTTGGTGTCCCATAATAACCTTCCCTTCTGTTGGACAGCTAATTTCCTCCCTTTTTGCTGCTCCATTTCTCACAGGCGAAACGTCAATCAGAGTACTCCGTAGATAATAATAGTTTGTTCAACATGGGGAAATAGACGCCTTCATCTTCGTTGTCTCTCTTTTATTTCCTTTCCTTTCCGTTCTTTTTGTTTCTCTCTGCTCTTCTAAGTACTTTTTTTCTTCTTGCTTCTCCTCTCTTCCTCCTCGTTCCCCCTTCGTTTTCGAGTCATTTCAAATACGGCGGATTTGACCGGCCAGTGTAAAAAGCTGTAGTTAGCACCACTCGTATATCGTGCTAGTATCTTTTTGGGTGGCAACCTGATTATTCACTCGGTCCGCCCTTGCTTTTTTTTTCCTCTTGGATTCCCACCTGCTCTCGTTATTTAGCTCCATGTTCGTCTTGCATCGCACACCCCCCCCCTTGTCGCCGATTAGACTCAAACCTCGCAGCCGATCAGGTCTGTTGGTTTCCGGGACCCGACAATCTCTCTTCAGCCCAGGCCGAACAGAGGCTACCTACTGTTCCTCTGTTCGGGGGATCCTCAAAATATCGTTTCGAAATATCCACCTCCTTCTCCTCTTCCTTCTTCTTCTTTTATTTTTCTCTTCTAAACCATAAATCTCTACGCGCGGTTTGTCGTCGACGCCGTGCCCATCACGTGTATCTCCCATCTCGACAAGCCCCTGTTTCTTTTTCTTGATTTCCTCTGTGTTTCCCAGCTTCAAGTCTCAGTCTCAATCTCCGTCGGTTAAATCTATATTGGGGCAGTCGGTGTTTACTTCTACCGGACCAAGCCAAGGTTCTTGCCGGCTGACAAGACCGTAATACCAGTCAGCCTTGGCCTGGTAGTGCTTGATAGCATCGTTTCTTTATATAATCAGCTCCCAGCCCTTCGCTGCGCGTTATTGATCCTACAACACACAACTCGAGAAATCGCACACTATGGACGGCGTAGCGGTTGAGCCATATTCTCGGACGCCGCCGCTGGCGTCAACAGAGCCTAACATGGCAACTCTTCCACCTCCACAGCCTCGGGAGCCCTCAGAAAAGAGAGAGCTGCCTCACCACCCGATGCTCAGCACGGCCGCCCTGTTGAATCCCATCATTGAGAAGACGCCGCCGCCGGTTGTTGAAGAGCCCAGGCCAATGCATCCGCACACGCTGCCTCAGATTCTGCCTCAGCCCCAGCACCAGCCTCAGTCGCATCAATCTTATTCAAACTCGCACTCGCTGTCGCGGTCGCCGGTTGACAAGGGACCTTCAGCATCGACAACGCCTCCGCTGGAGCCGACCAACGGACCCGTCATCAACGACATGCAAAAGTGAGTTTACTTATTTTTTCTTATTTTTTCTTTTTTCTTTCTCAATTCTCTTTAATTCTGTTCAATTTCTCTCTCTCTCTATGCTTGTCTATGTCTCCCCTCATGATGCAGTTCATTGTTCGCAAAAGGACAGTGTCCGCGGCAAGCAGCAGCAATTATGAAGCTCCCGTTTCGCCCTTGATGCAACCCGCGCCACTGCAGCTCGAACCGAACTCAATTCCGTGTGCAACTCGAGTCTCTGCTCTCCCCCCCTTTTTTCGCGCCCTTTTGCTTGGCTTCTGTTTCACGGCAACATCGAGGAAAAGGGAAGAAACAAGAGCGACAAACCAAGACTTGCGCTGCGATTCACCACTATCGCAGTGGGGCCTTTCGCCTTCCGCCTTCCGCCTGCCAGTGCCCGATCCTCTCCTTCTCATTACGTCCAGTCTCCAGCTTGTACTTGGTACTCGCGTTATGTCTCGCTCGCGACCAACTGCCTTGCCTTGTCTTAGCAAACTTTCTTCACCTCGACTGCTTTTCCCTTCTTCCCTTCTTCACTGCAAATGCAAATGCAAAATCCCACCCACAGAGGCGCAATCGCGATATCGGCAACCAAACAACTAGATCGTTTGCAATTTTCAGAATTGACACACAATCTCCACCGTTCTATCGAATTGCAAACCTTTTTTCAACTCGTCTCTGCAGCGTTGACACGGCGTTTCGGTTTCCATGGGCATCCCATCCTTCACATCCCCTTGCAGTCTTCGTCAAAGGTGAGCTGAGTTTGCTAGGCGACTGATTGGTCCATGCTCTGCAGCCTGTCCTTGCCGATCGAGCTGTGCCGCTCACAAACTTTGCCTCGAGCCTAGTGGCTTAGACAAAGGCACTTATTGGGAGCCGGTGCTACGTGTTCCTGTGGGAATGGGCGTCTTATAACGATGAGTTGTGCACGGCAGTGGCCTGATTTCGATCTTGCATCTCAACCTAACCCCCTGATCTCTGCCCCATTCCTTCCATCAATCACATGTCGCTTATGGCATGTCTCTTGCTGCAGCTCTAGACAGCGAGTTGCTGTTAGTCTCTTCAATAGCCCAAGATAAGCTTTGATGCCATCTTGCATCTGCGGCACCAGAGTTCCGTGCATCATTTCTCCCCAACCCTTTCCCATCGGCTAGGCACCCCCCTTCCTGAGAGTAGTTGTCAAGAGGGAAAAAGAGGAAAGGAAAAAGAAGCCGCAGTGGTTTTGCTGCGATATTCCATCCTGCTGCCTAGGCCGTTTATTAGTTTAGGCCTCAAGACAACTCATCTGTCTGCCAACCTTTCCCAATATTTTGCCCTCCCTCTTTGGTAGCTGATCAAACACTCTTATTTTCAATGCTTCCTCTTCCTCTTCTTTATTGAACAGTTACTATTTTCTTCACCCACATCTCTAAACGATTGCTTCCTTGTGTATAAAGCATCTTGAACCAAAATGGAACCTCGCTCCTCCGTCTCTTCGCCGTTGGGCGACGAGCTTTCAACCGCTCCATCAACGCCAACTGACATGAACCCTAGACAACTCAACGGCCACAATAAACCATTTGACGATAACGAAGCAGAAAGCGAGCTTAGTGAGCCGGACAGCAACGTTCATTCGCCATCAGGGGTGGGTTTGAATGATCAAAAAGGCTCCATCGTCGTTGATGCCAATACTAACGCTGATCAAAAGTCTTCACCTCTTCGTGTTATTTCCGAAAACGAAGACGAGACTATGACAGATACCCAAAATGAACCCGCAGTTTCGCACTATCCTAAACGGAAGCGAAACTCGGTCTTTACCGACCTTAGTGAGAGCAAGATGGAAAGTCCCAATGACGAATCCAAGAGCCCTCTCCCTGCGCAAGGCCTCAAACCTAAGCCGTCGCGACAGAATATGGGAACAGTCAGAGGTGTTCTTCTAGGCCACTGGAGAGATTCGCCAATTCCAGATCCCGAAGGCCGTCACGCGGTCATCGGCTTCATTGACGTGCGCGACCGGTTACGCACTCGAATCCAGCCTTACACCGTTGCCAACGAGCTAATCAGCAACGAGTACCCCATGCCCCCCGGACCCGGTGGTAGCTGGGTTACTTTCGAACGGGTCGTATTTTCTAAGCACTTGGTCGGCCTTGATCATTTCCAAGTCAAGGAGTATGTGAGGCTGCGCACTGATGTCCAGGAAGAGACAGAGGAAGAGCGCAAGGCTGCGGAGAGCAGAGCAGTCAAGGAGGCCATACGCAGAGTCAAAGAGAACCCTGCTTTTGATAACCCGGCTACTCAGCCTGCCATAGCCCACGGTCTTGAATTGCCTGACTCGGCCTTTAGCCCCGGACGGCCAGATGCCAAGAGAAGACGCGTGAGCGGTGGCTTTGCCGCCATCAACCCCGGTGGCAGCCACAGTCCGCCAGAGCATTCGCCCTTGCTACCATCTCAACCTGCTCTGCAACCTCGTCCACCCCATGTCCCAAAGCTGCATGGCCCTCTTCCAGGCACCCGCCCCACTCGCATCTTGCTGGGCTACTGGAAGGGCTCTAGCGAGGAAGACCCAAGGGACCGCCACGCAGTTTATGGCATCTTGGGACAGAATGATATGTTCAGAGTCAAAGTAGTTCGCGAAACCCGCGATGGCAGATTTGTCGATGGCAACTTCCCCTCTGGTGCAGGCGCGCTGTGGATTCAATACGAAGAGGTCGAATTCGAGCCGCACCTGAAGCCCCTCCAGAGGTCGGAGATTAAAGAGTATTGCCGAGTCCGTCAGTATCAACTTGATCAAGGCGAAGTGCCCGAAGACCGCATTGGCAACGAGATCAGAGCCGTACACGAAGCTCAGGCTCGCGCAGGCTCCGGCTATAGACATATTCACCAGCCCATTGCCCCGTACCACCCCATTGCAGCTGATGACTCGGACTTGGCGAATGGCCGGTCAGATGTTGGTGGAGCTCAGCACGAACTCCGGCAGTCACGCCGCGGGGATTCTCGGGCTACTCCTCGACAGTCCTTCAACGAAAACGACCTGCGCCAGCCGCGAGCTTATGCCGAACAGGAACCTCAACGTCCAGACTCCCGATCGACAAACCGCGGAATGAACTCGGACGGAATGGAGCGAACCAACGCGCTTGCTCGCAGAGAGATTGCGCGAGTCGAGGCTGCTCAGGGCCGTGCCGACCGCCATGCCATGCACCGAGAACGAGCCGCTGCCCTCGTCGCTGACGCTGCGGCTGCGGCTGCTGCCGCCGTTGTGACCACGCTCCCGTCCCAGGCTGCCACCAACACCAACGGCAGACCTCCTCGCTTCCATGAGTCGGAAGATATGCAACGCCTGAATAAGGTTTGGGCGCGCCAGGAGTCTTTGCGTCTCAAGGCTGGCGCCGAGGATGCCAAGGTGTACGACGGCGTCAAGTATGAGCGCAAGACGAATGGGCCGTTTATGGGCAAACTCGTGTCGCAAGGAACCATTATCAACATCGATGGGGAAGACTATGTTGAATATCGCGTTCTTACTAAGCCCTCTTTTTTCTAAATGCGTCTTTCTCTCCTGTTGATCTGATGGTCAATTTGGCTTATTGGGCAACCGAGAACACATAGAGAGCTCTCGCCTTCACAGCATAACGCAGCCCAACACGGTCATGGGTGGAACACTATGATAGAAGGATGATTCAAGACTGTGCAGCTGAAACTGCCGAAAATGACTGGGGTAATAAAGGTGAAAACACTTAGGGTCGATTGCTGGATGGAGAGAGATTATGGGCTCCCTACTGGCTTGATTTTTTCTTCTCTTTTTTGTCACAACGCATCATTTCCTTCATTCTCGACCTCTTATTTCATTTTTCATGCCTATCGAGGAGGATGATTATATACATGGCTGCCTAGACGGATATACACGTAAAGCGGCACATCAGGGAGGGATAATGCGACATGCACAGCGGCGTTTATTTCATTTTTCGTTTTATCGTTTGGGAGTGGGTGGCACGATCAATAATGGGACTCAGGGTCTTTTGTCTTTTGTCTGTCTTTGCAAGATGTTCTTCTTTTCCTTTTTTCAGTCTCTATTCCTTTTACAGGCTGCCTCTTTCTTTGTTAATTTTTAACTTTTCTTTTTCTTTTTTTTCTTTTGCTCTTACCGTATTCTGTCATGTCGCTCCGATTTCTTTATTTCTTTTGGCCTGAATACCCTGTTTTAAAAGCTCTGAGGTTGTGCGAGGTAACAAATAATGAGTTTGGACGGGGTTATTTTTGAACCTCGAGCGGTCTCAATCATCTCTTAGATGAATAAATTGCTTATTATCTCATGGAGTAGTTGTTGAAAGTGCTCTTTAGGCAGCAGTAATTGATACGTCAAGTTCCAAACCAACTAGAATAGCAGTTGTCTCAGCGTGCACAAGTAAAATCGATCTTCAGAGATCAAGAAAAAAAATATGTATTTTTCTAAAGCCATATATCCCATATCTTAGAATACCTTTTTAACATTTTTACTGTATTTTTCATCATCATAAGCAGAAAATATTTTTGTTTCTTTAGTTTGCCTCAGCCTCGGTTTCCTCCTTCTCAGGCTCCTCGTATCCCTCAACCTTCATATCCCTCAGGCCCAGCTCCTCCTCCTCCTCCTCTGTCCTCGTGTACTTCTCCTTCTTGATCTTGGGGTCCGGCGCGGGGGGGTCAACCAGCGACTGGACGTAGCTGCTGGCAAACGGGTCGGTCAGGATGACGGTGAAGGGTTTGGTGCCGGCAATGGCATTGTCGAGGTTGGCGAAGAACTTGTCCCACTGCGACTTCTCGTCGGTGCGGAGGGAGTCGCCGCCCTCGCCGGCCTCGAAGATCTGGCTGTGGAGGTCGTTGCGGACCTGCGTGAGGAGGCCCTCGACGGTGGTGAAGCGGCCGCCCAGGGTGCCTGGGTTGACGTGCAGCTCGAGCTCGGGGCACTCGAGACCGCAGGTCTCGCTCTTGAGGATATCACGGGCCAGGTCGATCTCACCGTCGACCTCGAGGATGATCTTCTCGCCGTACTCGGGGATCTCGCCACCTGTCTTGACGTCGTTGGAGCGGTAGCCGCAGGCGTCGCACACGGTGGACATGAGCACGACTTGCTTGAAGTGGGGGATGTCAACCATCTTCATGTGAGTTGTGCAGGCGTGCATGCAGCCGGGGCATGTGGCCGGGAAGCTGTAGACCTCGTTGGGGATGATTTCGCCATCCTCGGTGAGGCCTGGGTTGTTCAGCGTGGGATCGGCGTTTGCGTCGCTGTCTGTGAGACCGAGGGCCTGGTTCTGCTCAGGAGTACGGGCATATTCGTGCTTCTCCCACTTGCCAACGCCGTCCTTGAGGTCGGGTGCGATGAAGGAGTTGCCGGCGGGATCGTCGACGTAGACACGGAAGGGGAATGAGTCTCCAGCCAGCATGGCCCTGCTCTTCTTGATGATATCGGCGACCTTGTCGAAGATTTCGGGGGCCTGCTCCTTGCGCGCCTCCTGTCCCATCTCCAAGTCGTCAACAACGCCTGTTAGCAGACCCTCGACATTTGTCAGCTGGCCGCGGCCTGCAGGGATCTCGAGGTCGATCTCGATAAACTTGACGGTCGCGGTGTCGGACTTGACGACCTGACGAGAGAAGTCGGCGAGGGTGGTCAAGCGCAGCTCGTAGTGCGTGCCCTTGGGTTGGATGGTTCCAGCCGGCTGGATCTCATTGTTCTGGAAGTTGCAGTGGTCGCAGGAGAAAGACATGATGACGACCTCGCGGAAATAGGGGATCTGGGTAAGGAGAAGCCTTGTAATTCCCTATACATCTTGGTTAGTTTATGATGACGACGTTTCGGAAGGGCTGAAAGAATATGGCGACTGACGTTTTCGTGGCAGTTCATGCACAGCGACTCAATCTCGTCCACGGGCTTGATATCGTCCTCGTCGGCGGCAGCGCCATCAGTGCCAGCTGCGAGGCCCTGGGCCTGGTTGCCGATAGGCTCGAAGAAGTTCTGCTTTTCGCTTTCGGCGGCCATTTTGGTTTGGGTATTGCGAAAACAGGACAACAAAAAATGGGGAAAAGATAAAGGAAAAAAGACGACCTAAAAAATTGAGGTTGTCGCAAAAATGCACCCTGCCGTGTTTTGACTCGACGGCGGGGTTCTAAATTTTTTGGAGGGGCAATTTTAACAGTCGAGGTTATGTCATACGGGCTGGTCTGCACTAGAACGTTCCCGATGCATCTGCCTGGCGCCAGCGGATGAAAATTGGCCTGGGGATCCTTTCCACGGCTCTTTAGCACCCAGCGTTACCATCGTTTGAGATTTGATGAGAATTTCGCCGTCTTGGCTGCCCGCTAAAGGCAATTGACCAGGCAATTGACCTGTCGGCTTATTTCATCATAAAGTCTGCAAGCGACAGCGGGTTCGATTGGCGCTGCTGGCCAGAGAGTAGAGCCTGCAATCCGGCCTTGCGATTCTTGGCGCGCTTCTTGCTGCTCGCGTTCGCAGTGGCTGGTTTTTGGGCCTCGATATTGCCTGTGGGCTTTTGCATCTTTGCCTTGGAAGCTCTGTGGCGTGTCACAGGTTCGGGAGCCGCGAGTGCGATTCTGGTGACTCTGGCGCAGAAGCCGCATGTCCACTCCTTGGATCGCTCTCGCGCAGAGCCCGGTTTCGCCGTCTTGGAAGAACGCGACTTTCTCCTCGACGCTCTCAATGTCTTCAACTTCAGATGTGTTCCTTGTCCGGGGATCATGATGTGTCCACAGGCAGCGCAAACATGCTGTCGCTCAAGGTCTGAGGGCGCCATGTCGTGAGAGTATAAAAGCCCTGCTCTCTGGCTTAGGAGATGCGCCGATGTCTCTGGAGCTGCATCTCGAAGTAGGTGAGCAGCGTCCGTGAGGAAGGTGATTGCCGGTGAGTTTGCGGTGACAGATGCCATGTGGTGACGCTGGGGGAGTTGTGCTGCTCTCTTCAGTAAATAAAAGCTGGGTCAGGTTTGAAGCTTTCAAGTTCAGCACCGTGATGGACATGTGAGTGGGGCAGGGTGTCTGAATGATTTTGTGGGGAGTGAATTTAATAGTGTATGTGCTCTTTGGTATGTGAACCCTTCAGCAATTCTGTGTGAAAGCAGTTGGATGAGTTTTGCATTTATACACTGAGTTACGACAAAAAATTGTACATTACGCTCTCTTAATTTCCCACACCAGCTCCTTGATGCTGACCTCCTCACCCGCCTTCTCATCATAGTCAAACCATTCCCCATCTATCAGCTCAATTCCAGTAAACTTGGTGCCGGAGTCGATTCCGTCGGCCAACCACTCGCCCTGTTCAAGCAAAGCATTATCAGACAACGAATCTCGCATGGCCAGGATGAATTCTTGACATACCTCTGCCTTGAACTCTGTAAACTCCAAACCTCTGCAGTCAAACTCAAACACCTTTTGCGGCTTGGGGGGCTCTCCCTGTTCATAGGCCGATGGGGCAGCCTTGATTGTCGCAGATGACTCTCGCTATAAAGAAATACTATGTGAGTAAGAGTATATCAAATAGTCTCCTTATAGTGATTGCGAGATATACCTTGCAGTTCTTGCATCTCCAGACAAAGTTCGCCTCGCCCCGACTGCCGCTCATTTCATTGGTTTCCTACTAGGATGTGAGTGCCTGGACAATACTGTACGTGCGAGATTCACTCACGAAGCGGTTTACGCCAACATAATTCTCATGCGTCTCTCTGCAAGATGTACACTGAACCTTGAACATGTACCAGAACGGGTTGTCTTGCGTATCATCGGGGCGCAAATTGGTTACGCTGTTTTTATGTGAGTGATTGCAGCTTGTGAGATCGCGGGGCAAAATTCAAAGCACAAACCCCGTAAGCTCTGCGGTCAGCACAAGGGCGAACATTTCTGAGTTCTCCAAAGCTTTATTATATGGAAAGGAATTCCAGAAAAGGATCAAACGAGGAAAGGAGAGAATAACGAGCTCTTGATAGGTATTTTTTACTTTGACTCGTAGTAATAATGCGGATGGTGTAAGAGAGCTAGGCGGGGAATAGCAGAAAACAATCACGTGACTCTAAGAAACCTCTCTCTGAGAGAAAGTGGGAGCATGGTACGATATTCGTAAAATCACTTTGCACCCCGAGCTTCAACGCCAATTGACGGCCGAAAACCGCTCCGCCTTGCTCGAAAGCCTCGCGTGTGCCTACAAATGCCTGGGTGATGCAGACGATTCTCTCCAGAGCCGGAAAGGCTCCTCGCAGCGGGTGCAAAGCCTGCACCAGCGCCATCGAGACCCTGGGCAAGAGACCCGTCTCTGCTCGCCGCAAGCCGACGTTCGCCGAGCTCTTCACAGCATGCTACAGCTCGGTATTTGCCACAGCAGCATTGGTAGATGCTGTCAGAAAGGATGACCGCAGGAAAGAGCTGGATCGCCAGCTAGAGGAGGTCCGGAAGGAATTGGCAGATCTTCAGGATGGCCGGCAACGGCCCAGCTCGGATGACGACTCCAAAGGTCCAGAACTCAATCTTCGACAGATGGACGCACTCTGGCAGAGCTTGAAGAAGATATACAACAGCCGACCGTACATGAAGGAGATACACCAACCGGCAACCATTAGCGCATCCGATGTTATCGAAGCTCTGAAGCACGAACACTACGGAAGCTCAAGCGATCCGCTGCGTAATTCCAAGAGGCAGATAAATTACGACAGGCTCGAAGGTGCAATAATGCAAGAAGAGAGTGCAAAGGGGAGGTACTATCGAGAGCCCCGGAATCAGGCTCAGCTGCTCCGCGAATCGCTGAGTACAGAGACCCTTGTCCGGAAACTGCTGGATCGCACAAGATACCTCCCTGAAGACCAGTCCGGCCCCTCGCTTCAAAAGGCCCGGAATCTGCTAGAAAAAGGAAGCCCGGGGTTCACATTTCGATCCATCGATGCAGCTAGGGCGCGGGATAACACCATCCTGCTGAACAAGCGCCTGAGAGCTTTGGGCGCCGCTTCAAATCTTAGTATGAAGGAGAAAGTTGGCAGGATTTGCTATAACCTGCTTGTTTCATCGCACCCGCCTGATATACACACCTACAATACGCTCATTGTTGCGTTTAACAAGTCAGGCCATCATTCATTCGCCGAAGCACTTGTGGCTTCGTTCTTCCAATACCGACTGCTACAGCCTACGCCATCCACCTTCATCGCCATCCTAAATCATTACCAATGCACCAATAACCATGGAAGATTCTTGCGTGCCCTCGCATGCATTACCGGGCTCGACAATCGGACCGGCGCAAAAGTTCGCCGGAGGCACATATCAGACATTGAGGAAAACCCGAACCTCCTACCGTGGGCCTTGGATTCTAGACGCCGTACTCTCACAGGAGATTGGATCTGGGACCATCTACCCCTGTCGCAGCCTTTGGTGGAAGAAATCATCGGCGGCCTGCTTCACTTTAAGCTTTTTGACCAGGCTGCGGCGTTTTTCATTTCATGCATGCAGTCTGGAGTAAACCTGAGCTTGGATTCAGTCAAATATTTCCTTGATGAATGCATCAATGCTCTGGACTGGAAAGCTGCAGTTCGATTGACGTCTAGCTTCGCACGGTCCCAACCAACATTGCAGAGGCTACTCAGAGTGGGAGGGGATGACGAGAGCACCTCATACATTGCCGGCCGGGTCCGAGTTTTGTTAGATATTTGTGGCCTTGGCGGTCCAGATAAGCCATCCAAGTCGCTTTTGGTCAATTTGAAGGTTTCAGGCCCTTCTTTCAACAAGCTCCTCAACACATTGGCCCAGGAGGCGGGTCCACAACAAGCAAGGTCGACATCCGATCAAGAGATTTCCAGGTCCAGAAGCAGAGTGCTGCAATTGGAGAGTATATGGAAAGAATATGAGTTTGTGAGAAAGACAACACTTTCCATTGAGAGCAAGCTCCTTTATCCCGACTTCTCACATGCCTTCCGAGCTTCAGTGGCACTCCACATTGGCAAGGCAGCTACTCAGAGAAGCGAGCGGTTAGATGAAGAGCTGAAGCAGCTCATGAAGAGTCCCGCTTCAATAGGATCGATGCCGCGGCTACCTTTAGAGAGCGAGGAGATTATGAAAGACAGCTGTCCTTCTCTAGATACGACGCCCCCTCCCGAGGGAGATGCGCGCACAGAAGCAGAAACCCCCCCAACGGGAATCGTGGAAAAGTTGGAATTGATCGACCGTGGGAATACCATTGAAACCAAACTCATGGGGCCGAGACCTGGGCAGGTATTACCAGCCTGGCCCGGCTGTTTACCAAGTGAAGGCAACGTGCTTCGAAGAATGGCCGTAATGGATGAGAGGATGATGAGAACCGAAGGGTGAGAAGAATATCGGACTTGGGAAAAACTTTCTACCACTATTACTACTTGTCGTATTGTATTGATATATTTGTATATAGAATGGTTGGTGGTAGACCAACATTTGCTGGAATGTTGCGTATAGGCGCTTTGGTGGGAGGAGAACTGGGGCTGGGAAGCCCTCCAATTACTGTACAGTACAAGCATGACTATGATGACTGCATCCATTATCCAAATTCAGTGCTACTGTGGCACGAGTATAATAACGATCAATGCTTTCAACTTCCACTTTAATCTTGGGTGATTCTCAGGGCTAGCGAGCGCGTGTTCAGATCTGGAGAAGTGGCGGTGGCTAGCGCAGAAAATATCGAGGCTTACAGTGCCGCTGGTACCGTGTTCCGAAACTGGGCACCACAGCGATGCGCGGGCGTGCCTGGCAGCGCCTTAGCCTGCTAACTTACAGCGGCCTCAGCGGACTGGCCACAGTGAGACAGCGGCAAAAGCGAACTGGCTGGCGGTAAGACCGGAATGGAAGAGCCGGCTAGGTCACGAGGAGCGGGTGTGTCCACTCAAGCTTCGCATGTGCTCCATGTGCTCCAAACGCTTCACGTCACTGCAAGGAATCGCTCAGGGGGGGACTCCAGATGGCGACACGGTGCTCCACCGGGGCGAGTGGCGCTCAGCTTCAATTCAGGGTCCTTTTGGCTTGGTAAGGATTGGATTTTGTGAAGAGACTGCGAGAATTGGCCGGTACAGGTGCGTGATTAGGTGTCGAGAGGTTGAGATTACTGTGCTAAACCTCGTGTCTCTCGACTACTGCTAGTGACGCTGCCGAAAGTGGATGACCATGGGGGTGGAGAGTCAATCAGTCTGATCTCTTCTTCCTCTTTCCTCTTTCTTCCCTCCTCCAAAAATCCATCTCCACCAGACGACTTTGAAAAAGGCGGCGTGGCCTCCGAACATCGCTTCTGCGGATCCTGTCTGCCGCATGTCAGATGAGCTTTGCCAGCAAATTATCCATCTCCAAGAGACAGTTCCAGTACGCGGACGTGTGACCGACGCCACGGGCTGCTCCCTGCGAGCCTTTGTTGGACATTGCGAGAGTCCGTTGCTGGTCGAGAAAGACTGGATTGCTTATCATATGCGTCTGCGATAACACCAAACCCGCTGTGCCTGTGCAAGTATGTCCTCGGCTTCCCACTTCCGTTCCGTCATCATTCACTCCCCCGTGAGCTTCTAAGCAATCTAGACTCAGCGCCGCCGAGGTATGGATTGTTTGGTGGTTACCCGCATTTGTTAGAGCCCGTTGAGGAACGTGGAGGCTGGTCATCATCACGCGGTCTTGCTCTGCATCTTTTTACCTTCTACCACCTCGACCAATTTAGTCTGGTTTCCTCTTCGCATTCTAACCTTCTTTCCCTAGTTCTCCCCTGTGCCTGCTTGAACTTGGCGGGATTGGCCTTCTGCTTTGTGAGTATTGACCATTATCTCTTCCCGATATCACCATACCGCCACCATCCCACAATCCGGATTGTCATTCGTACGACAATTTGATACGACTGCCCCTCCAACAGAAGTCGGAAAAAAAAAGCGTCTGACAGAAACCCCCACACGCAGTTCTGACCAATCAATCAGCATAACCAGGCGGAAAACAAGAAGCATACCGAAATAGGAAAGATAGAAAAAATCAGGCGGACTGGGAAGAAATCATGAAGTTTGGACGAAAGTGAGTTGCTCGGGATCAATTGGAGGCATTCACTGAAACGGTCCCCTTCCAAAGCCTTCCGCGAAACCAGGTCCCTGAATGGGCTGGCGCCTATATCAACTACAAGGGCCTCAAGAAAATCGTCAAGGCCGCCGCCGAGAAAGCCCGGAATGGCGAAACCGTAGATCCAGCAGGTGGGCTGTCTTGAAAGCTTCTCTCTTGTTGAGGCCGAGCCTCCTCCCTAACTCTCATCCCACGCAGAGCTTTCCTTTGCCCTCGACCGTAACCTTGAAGATGTCGATTCATTTTATAACAAAAAGTACGCCGAGGCTTGCCGGCGCGTCAACCTTTTGCAGAATCGCTACGGACGCGTGCCTGATGTCGTCGCGACTCTGGATCAGGACGAGATTGAGGAGGTCATGGGCGCGCTCCTGGAACTGAGAAGTCAGTTGAGGAACCTGCAGTGGTTTGGTGAAATCAATCGCAAGGGTTTTGTCAAGATCACCAAAAAGGCCGACAAGAAGGTGCCCGGAATCGCTTCTCAACACCGATACATCTCGACAAAGGTCGATCCAAAGCCCTTTGCGCGGGATGGAAATGTCATCAGGCTCCTCAGCGAGATTAATCGATGGCTTTCGGTGTTGGGAGATGCGCAGAACCTTGATGATTCCACGTCGGAGCGGTCTACTCGTTCCCTCAGTCGATCCTCAGCCAGAGTGTTCCTTCACATGCCACAAGCCCAGCTCGATACGCTGGAGCAGGCTGTCCGCACCAATGACGTTGAATCGCTAAAATCGGGATTGGCTGACGCACACGTTGTCTTGTCAGAGACTTCGTCGCAGCCCTTGTTGCTGAATCTCTTGCAACGGTCAATTTCAGGAAGATCTCGGGCCTGTATCTCATATCTTCTACAAAACATCAAAGATCTCGACGAGCCCGAAGATATCAACGGACGAAATTGCATCCACCGCCTTGTCATTCACATTGGCCGTACAAAGTCGGCACCCACAAACGAGGACGCCAACACGTATCCAGTCCCGGTCGGCACGCATTTCAATAACAGGCATCTGCAGCCTGCAGTCTCTTCTGCCGTCCAAGTCAAGGAAATAAACAAGCACGAATCGGTTCTACTCGGAAAGGACGATGAAGCTGTGCAGATCCTTGAATATCTGTTTGACAATATGTCTGAGAACCAGCGAGGTGCTCTAAAAAGCCCTGACACCTTCGGCCGGCTGCCGCTTCACTATGCTGCCCAGTTCGGATTTGTTGTCGTGTGCCAAATCATCATGCACAGGATGCAGCAATGGAACCAATTTGATGTCAAGGATGGAATCGATGCCCCTGAGTGGCAAGACAGTGATGGATACGCGCCACTTCATCTGAGTGTCATCGGTGGCCATCCCCTAACCACCCAAGCTCTACTCCAGGGCGAGAACTGGCAGGGTAGCAGCGAGGCCAAGACAGAAATCCGAAAGACGGTCGCCAAGTCTGGTGCCGTCCTTGCGCTTGCTACCAAATCCAACTACACTGTTATTGTCAAGATGCTTGTCGAAGCTGGCGTCAATGTTAATTGGACCGACAAGACGGGTGAGACGGCTCTCCATGTCGCCGCCAGGTTTGGGCACGATGAGTGTGCTCGCGTCATTCTGGAGAGCAAGTTGCAAAAGGCCGATGTGGAGATCACAGAAAAGTCTTATGCCTGGACTCCTTTGCACGTTGCTGCTGTTGACGGCTCTCTTTCTGTTGTCCAGTTGCTCATTGACGCTGGCGCAGATGTCTCCAAGCCAGATGCATCTGGCTGGACGCCCACAGAGCATGCCGCTTTGCGCGGTCATATGCAGATCGCGAATCTTCTCGCGGCTCACACTGACGAGACAGAGGCTGCCACCAGGGCCGTGACCGCATCTCCGCCACTGAATCCTACTGAGAGCTCGTCATCCATTGACGGCCGTCGTTCGAATGGGTCTCCGCCGGCACCGCGACCAGCTGAGCTTGTCAAGACGTTCGGTCATCGTTATCTGACCAATGAAAGTCTGGTCTTGGTTAGCCTTGGATCCATGGATATGCGAAAGAAGCTCGATGCGGTAACTCTTGATAGCGTCCCGCTTGCAGAGGCGCACAATACGCAGCTTGATACGGCTCTGTCCGTCGTGGTGACCGCCGATGGGGCTCACGGAGAGTCAACCATTATTGATCTCCCAGTTCACGAGCATATTGCTACTGAACCGATTGTCTTTACAACACGGGACGCGTCCAAAGTCAAGCTTCTCTTCGACATTGTCCCAACTTATTCGGGAAACAATAAGCACAAGATCGGTCGTGCCGTGGCCCTCATGTCTTCTGTCAAGCCAACCCTTGGCACCAGCCGCATGAACTTGCAAGGCGATTTGTGCGTGCCCATTATGAACAGCAACCTGGAGGTTATTGGAACAGTCAACTTCAACTTCTTGGTCATCACACCCTTCTATCACCCCAATATGGAGATTACTTCCAGACAGACGTACTGGAAGAAGCTCTCATCCACCATGCTCATTGGTCATCGAGGTCTCGGCAAGAACATTACCTCTAACAAGTCTCTGCAGCTCGGCGAGAACACGCTGCCGTCTTTCATTGCCGCGGCTAATCTGGGAGCTCAGTATGTCGAATTTGACGTGCAGCTCACTAAAGATCACGTTCCAGTCATCTACCACGACTTCCTTGTCAGCGAAACTGGCATCGATGCTCCTGTTCACACGCTCACTCTGGAGCAGTTTTTGCACATCAACCCGGATTCCAGGAGAAACAAGAACCGCAAAACAAGCCCAGCCCAGAGCGGAAAGTCGACTGTTGGTCGTACGCGCAGCAACAGCTTTACCCCACAGCGTTCACAGTCGATGGGCTATGCTGGCACTGGTCTGCAAGAAGAGATGGACGAGCGCATGAAACACACTAGAGACTTTAAAGAAAAGGGTTACAAGGCCAATTCGCGAGGTAACTTTATTCAGGCGCCTTTTGCGACATTGGAAGACTTGTTCCGAAAGCTACCTGAGAATATTGGTTTCAACATTGAGATGAAGTATCCTATGCTCCACGAAAGTGAAGAGCATGAGATGGACACGTATGCGGTGGAACTAAACTCCTTTTGCGACACCGTGCTGTCTAAAGTCTACGACCTTGCCGGGGAGAGACACATCATCTTCAGCTCCTTCAACCCGGATATTTGTTTGTGTCTCAGCTTCAAGCAACCCTCCATTCCGATTCTGTTCCTGACAGATGCCGGCGTCTCCCCTGTCGGAGATGTCCGAGCCTCATCGCTGCAGGAGGCCATCCGCTTCGCTAGC